GCTATGGCTAGATTCATAACAAGACAGGTGGTCACACACACTACCTTGGTATGAAATTTACGAGCCTAATAACTTATATTACCAACTCTGAAAAATATGATAACTTTTCAAAAATATACGATAATATAAAATCGTTTAAAAGGAGTTTTATTTTGTGACAAATTTCAATTAATTTAAATTAGTAGTATATATGTTATCGTATTAAATCATACATATATAAATACTGTTATTCTAAGAAATATTAAATCCTGTCAGTCATTAATAAAGTGAGTTGGTATTAGTTTGAAAAGTTTACTTACAACTTCAGTAATTAGTTTTCACTTTATATAAAATAACTGTTCGTGTAACCTTAGTTAGTTAGTTTATTTGATAATGAATCGTAATATAAGTCTAATAACAAAGTTAAATCGGAACAAATGTAATCACTGATTAAATATATATGTATATTAAATATGTGCTGTGTACACTAAATTTGGATTATTTTCTAGTCTAAATAATCTGATATATTTGTCGAAGTCATGTGTTGACTGTAATCTGTGAGTGCACCTGATATAAATAAATAAATTGTAATTTAGCTAGATTAAGTTCAACATTATCTTGGCTAGAGATCGTTTTTTAAAAAATACGATGAGTTTAAGATGTTTATTTAGTAATATAATAAGTAAAAATATGACTTCTTTTAACTTTTAAACGGTTTCAACGTGTTTGTATTTAGTCTTAGACGTTTCGGACCCTTTACACCCGTTACCTGTAAACGCGATGGAACCTTTTAAAAGTTGTTTATTTATTTTTTAAATATGACATTTTCCTGTACGCTATGCAGAAGAAATTTAATTAAACAAAGTGCTTGATCTGCGTTCAAGATGTTTTTTTCGTTCATAGCTAGCTAAGCTTTTTTTATATTAATTACATCGAGTTTAAAAAAAAAACTTTATAAAAAAGTAAACTTATTTGCATATTTTGCTTCTGTCTTCGTTTTCGAAATTAGCGTTACACACTTGTAGTCTCACATACAGAGGCGCATCCAAAATCAGCCTTCATATCTAAATTCATATAAATGCGTTGTATATCTGTCTTTGAGTGACTGATTTTCATTATATACCAAATATCAACTGAACCGGTCCGTTTCAGAAGAATTCACCTGTGACACACAGAGCGTAGCACGGTAGTGTAGTGGATAAGCGCCGTGGCAGCGATCTTTCTTGTTAAGCAACTTTCGCAAGGGTCGGTCACGGGCTGGGTAATCAAAAATTTACTCGAGCTACTTCGTGCTTCAGAAAGCACCTTAAGCCTGGAGTTTTATAAAAAAACTTCCGCTTTTTACCCCCATAAGAGACGAATGCAAGTTCAAAACAATTTTTTTATAAAAATTTAACTTAATCTTATTATAATATTCATTAATTATGCCAAGATTGTATTATGATATTATCAGAACCATATCATAATGCAATTTTGATAGATATAAAAATCTTCCAATTTTGTCTAATTGATTTTACAGCTTATTTCATTAATTGTTCATGTTTCGAATTAACTTTATATGTATTGTATATTAATTATTAATAACCTGATGTGCTCCTTTTTGTGCTTGTATTTTATTGGAACAGCCAAATAAATTCAAAGCTCTTCCATAAATTATCGCCTCATCCACTGCTACAAATCTCACAGTCATTATCACGCAACGCACTGTCTAGCCGTAGCTTTGATGGTAGCAACAGTTGCACTTCGTAGTCGCTACGGCTCGCTCGTATGCTACGCGTTATCTCCAAAAAAAAGTTACGAAAGTTTCGGGTGATAATGAAATGCTATATTATTATTCAGTTAATTTGTCATAGTTGCTGCTGTTCCTCAGTGAAATTATCTTAATAATTACAGTGATTAGTGAAATATGAGACGAATAGTTCTTATCTTGTATTTTCTTAGCTACTATAAAGGTTAGTCATTAAAGTTTATCAGTACGTAAACCTTTTTAATGAAAAACGTTTATATCAATTTTAAGCGTTTTAATTAAAAAAAAGCTTAGTCATATGTGCGAAGATAATACATACAATTTATTATGCACATTGTTTTCAAATCATTGATAAATAAGTTTAATTCGCTTTTATTGAATTTATAAACAACTCGCATACGTTTTGACTTATTGAATTTGAACATACTTTATTATATTTGATCAATTTTACCTGGGGCTGGTGAATTTATTAAGAATATTGAACAAACCTATTGAAATATCTGTTATTTGTTTCCTAAAACAATTACTCAATCAGAACGAGGTACTTAAGGCAATTTTAAAATTTAAATAGTCATTAGTCATTTGTTTTGTTTTGTGATTTTATTTAGACTTTACACCCTTAAATAAACTAATAAGAGTTGTTTATAGACACATAGATCTGTCCCCGTCATCCTAATTTGACTTTAAGTTAGATTGTAAAAGACAAAACGCTGCATAATTACACAATATTCACACATTGCTTATTATTACTAACACCTTTAGCAATAAGGAATCAAACGTAACACGGACAAAAATAAACGTAACACGACGCATGGGCCAGTAAACGTTTCTACTACTAAATTAATTTAGAAAAACTATACAACTCTTATATAAAATTAGCTAATCCATAGAATTTAACAAAATTTTGAAATATTTAATTGCTAAACACTGGATATATTCTGCTCGAAATCTAATAGTGAGAAATATAGCTATCTACACAATCATCACCAGTTTATTAATGTCCTCACTACTGGGGTACGCCTTCCCTATGGATGGATTTAAATCAAATCGAATAGGAAGAATGAGCTGATAACGACTGCATATACAGCCGGGGCCAACGACTTGACGTGCCTTCTGTGCGTTCAAGAAGGAGTTCAAGGTAAAATTTTTTTGGTCACCCATCCTATGACCGGCCGTTGCGAAAGTTGCTTAGCAGCCGTATCGCAGCTTTTTTATGCTGTAATTTAAAAAAAAACACCAACGGCTATTGATCGAGATACAGTGAATTAAGCAAGTCTTATATTGTAAGTAACTTGAACTCGTCGAGGTAACGTGCTAAAGCGCCAATTCCGCGAACAAACAAAGGATTTATTTTCAATCATTTTTTTTTCTATCAACATAGTACAAATAACACTTCATTTTGATAGTATCACTTGTTTTTCTTTTATTAAATAAAGAAAAAATAATCAGCTGCAATCAAGAAGTTTATATACCTATATATTGCTATATCAACCTCTTCAATTTTTGCAATCTTTTTTTACAATATGTAATTGGTCACATATAAAAACTTTTTCAGAATTCGTGAATAAATATAAAATGGAAAGTAAATACTTTTCATTATTGTTTTTTGCAATAACTTCACTTACTGAATAAGGTTGGATTAAGTGTATGTCAATTGTCAAACTTATCTTAACTTTACTGAATAGTCGCACCATATTCTTCCTTGACATAGTAAAATAATAACTTTAAGCAGCTAATCCTGGCCGGTTACAGTTGACGGTTAAGTTATGACGTCATTCAAAATGGTCCAACTCAATATGTGCTAAACCGGTACTTTAATGCTGTTATTATTTAAGTTCGTGCAACCAAGCCTAAATGTGTTGAGACTATGTATGCACACAAATACAAACAGTCAAATGCACACCAGACAAGAGTGCCAAATTAATTGATGAAATTTGATATACTAGGGTAGTCTGATCTGCAACTGTCTGTACAAATAGGATAACATTCATACAGAATATTTTTAATTCTACTAAAAGCTTTAAGCCACAGAGAGAAATTAGTGAATCATATTCGTGTTATATTAATGTTTGCTACCATCCACAGTAACGATTGAAGTTTTTTGTATCCACTAATAGGTATTACTAAAGATACACAAATACATATATCCGCCGAAACTTTATGAATACATTATCAAGGATGACAACATTAATAATTAAATTTCCTTAACGCTACTAAAAATATTGTTAGCAAAATAATGTAAGTAGGTACAGTAAACATTATGTATACTGCTCATATAATACATAAAGAAATTGGGGGCTATTGTCTAATTGAGGGTTTATTTTAAAATCCATCGCGATCCCTCTCATTTGACAATTATTCAAGAACTTCATGCTACAAATATTTGACATGTATTTGACACGTTTTTTGAAAGATATTGAATGAACGACATCGTTAATTTGTCTTTAATTGGAATTGTATGAGGCAGTGGCTCGGTGGCGTAGTGGATAAGCGCCGCGGCCCGCGATCGTAGTCGTTAACTTTCGCAAGGGTCGGTCACGGGATGGGTGACCAAAAAAAAATTATTATCTCGAGCTACTCCGTGCTTCGGAAGGCACGTTAAGCCGTTGGTCCCGGCTGCATTTGCAGTCGTTAATACCCTCCAATCCGCATTGGGCCAAGTGTTAGTCACAAATATTTCTGGAAGCTATTGAGAAATGTAAAACGAATGATTTAAATGCTAACTGCTATCTTTCGACGAGTTTTTATTGTTTCTTGATCATTCAAATTATAATTCGGTCGAAAAAGTTATTGTGACTTTAAAAAGACGCATAAATCCATCAATCGCAATATACTATACCTTTGAAAGAGGTTTCAATAGATTAAGCATTTTCTGTTTTCCCAAAGATTGATTTGTAGAGAATGCTATTAGCATTAAGTCCATCATTTGTACCATTTAATCCCTGGTCAATAAAGTTTGATGAATTAAGCTCCCGCTCTTGCAAACACTTACACTCGTATCTAATGTCGATATAACTAATTACTCGTACTTAAGAAAATGGCATCACATAAGTAGACATTTTATAACATTAGACGAGAATTTGATTGAAATAAGATTTTATACTATTAATAGCTCATTATAATGGTATTTTTACTGTTAACAGTTTTAACTCTATTCAAATTCTTGTATAAATGTTAAAAATATTTGCTTAACTAATCACTTTCACTCTACTATAGAAGTTATAGATACAGTGTGTCACTGCTTCGAGACAGTACCCAATCGAACTATAATAAAATGTCGCATTTTCTCGCAGTAACAATCTGCCTCCGTGTGGTCGGTGTGACGGTGCCGACGTTCAAACAGCGCGGCGAGGCTGCCACTTTAGGCTGCGACTTCGACCTGGAGGGCGGGAAGTTATATTCCGTGAAGTGGTACAGGGACCACGAGGAGTTCTACCGGTACATGCCGAAACTGCGGCCGCCACAGCACGCGCATAAAGTCGACGGGATCAAAGTTGATGTATGATATCTTTTACAGACGTAGAGCTCGTGTCTAAAGCTTGATATTCAGTACCCTAATGTAATTCCTATCCTATCCTTAATGTACTTTGAATAGAATCTATCTTAATCTTCAGATGCAAAAAGCTAACTTCTATTAGGTAATTTTATTCAGCTAATATTATTTAGGTATGTACATGTAATGTACAGTTAATCAACTAAACTTATAAGAAGCAGTGTTATTATTTTATTAAATTATACAAAATTATTCAAATATTTACATATTTAATGTTTATAAATTTTCCTGAGATACCAATTTTCCTTTTCATGTATTTTTTTTGTTTAGTAGCTCTATAAAAATAATAATAAACCACACTGATCAACAGCAGAAATATTTATGAAAGTATAAATTATTACACGTACCTAAAACATTCTGGCTGAGACAAAATATTCTTTAAAAATATCCCATTTCCCAAGAAACTTAGTAAATTCATGAAATGCGTCAAAGCATAATCACAAGTATATCGTTACAAACGTTCGATTGATAGTCCTTAAAAAAATATACAAACTAGAGATTTTGTGTTATTTCCAATAGATGGATAAATCAACCGCCCGTCGTGTACACCTAAAGGATCTAAGTTTGAAATCTCGAGGAGTCTACCGTTGCGAAGTTTCCAAAGAAGCTCCATCTTTTCACTCTGCGCAGGCTGAAGCATTCATGGAAGTTTACTGTAAGTTGCATTATAAAAACTTTCTATTTTCGCAATAGTTAGTGCGCTCGGTCTGTGATTAATATAATATTAATAAAGAGCTGATGCCCGCGAATTCGTTTGCATTGATTTCCAATCATACCAAAGCAGATGAAGAATTTCAATTGAGTTTGTTAGTTTAACTTAATTAACATTATAAAGGTAAAATTTTATAACTCCTCCGCCCATCGGAAAATGCAAGCCATAATCGTTCAAAGAGGTAGCTTAATATGAAATAATCATAATTTGTTAACTTTACCAATTGATATACATTATATTATTTTAAACGTCATGGTCATAAATATTAGAGTAATTTTTGGCGGGATAATGAGTCCTTGACATTCCGGAATTGTTGCAAATACTATGATATAACAAGGCATGTTAGCAATCCGTTGAATAATTTTAAAGGGTGGCATCATCTTATAATAGAAAGGGATGTCTTCGCTCTTTACCATTCATACATTGAGATGTCTTGTACCGTATGGGTATTGTTAACTCCATATCTGTTTTGATCGATTTCTCACCACCCTATGTATTTACGTTTAATACTCTAACAACCAGTTGCGCAAACGTCCATTAATATTTTCATTACTTTAAAGTGACATTACCCATACAAATTTGACATTCATTAGAGTTTTAAAGCGTCATTAAACCTTAATGAACGTTTGTGCAACTGGCTGTAAGACTGATCCCGTCAATAATGATCTTAATCGTAAACATACCTTACATGATATTTACGTAAATTCGTCTACCATTATTGATAAATAAATTAGTCTATTTTCTCATCTGATTAAATAATTTTCGTTGCATTTCAATTTAATTTTCTTATATCAAAGGGCAGATACATTGCTGCTTTAAATAAATTGGTACTACCCAACTAAAACCTGATTTAGATTTATTAAAGTTCAATTTTAAAGTTTGTAATTTTTACGGTATGAAATCGAAATAGAATTTATATTTTTCGTGGCAAGCAAGACAACGTGATTGCTATACACCTGCAGACTAACCGTGTAACTATTTGTAGGTATATCGGCTCTGTGATGGCTTACATTTGTTTTGTATTCTTAGATACAGCGTCTAGGTACATTCTTACATCGAACTTATTCAAATGCACTGTTAATACAATATATAAAACATAGACAACTTGCCGAATGTTTTTGTACTAATATTATTATAAAAAAAGATTTGATAGTTTATTCATATTTAATAGGTTCCAAAGTTACAGAGGCGACTTTAAAAATCCTTTCAGCTACTAGAAGCTCTAGCGGGTGTAGGCTATAATTAAGGCGGGCGAAACCTACCTACTAGAAATCCAAAATGGCTATTTTTAATTTCCATTTACCCTGTCCACTTGTAGTGTTGTGAACCAACGTGAATGTTATCGTTTAATTCCAGACTTCCCGCGCGAGAGCCCTCGTATTAGCGGACACGAACGGACTTATTCCCCGGGAGAACCTCTCGACGTGAATTGCTCTGCAAGGTCGTTCCCGCCGCCGGAGCTACAATGGCACATTGACGGAGAAAAAGTTTGTTTACTTATTGAATTATGGCATGATTTTTTTCTCCATTTACTATTGAGAGATTTCCATTCATTGGTGAGAGGCTTGTATGATCTTTTTAAAAAGGAATGGAACGATATTATTTGTGCCACATCACGGTAAGAAAACATTACCAATAACAATAATAAGCAAAATAATATTTATATAAAATTAAAATGCAAAACTTATGTGTATATTGTAAGCGAAAGTTTGAAGGTTGGACGTTTGTTACTTCTCCTCGCAAAGTCTTCTGAAGGTTTGTTAAGATATAGGGGAGAGTCGGTTATATTGTACTACTTTTAACTTTCACAATTATTACTTGTTTTAATGTTGATTGTAAAATACTTTTTCTCATATAACAAGTTTAGAATCTAGTCTAACTTTTCCATCAAAATCAGTAGCGTATCTATTTAAATAATATTTTTAACATATTTTATTCTAGAGGCTTGCCCTTGGAACAATTTATCCAACTAATCCGATTAATTGTACCATAGGTATGATAAATTGTACTACTGATAGTTTTGTCACTTTAAATGAATCCAGTTGCTAAATTGTTTGATAAAATAAAGTTTATATAAAATATAATGCTTCCATTAATATTTTTTTAATTTTAATTTGGAAAATATGCTAAAAAAGTAAATTTCTTTATATCAAAATTATGTGATTTACAAACATAAACGCTTCTCAATTAAATTTTTCATGAATAGTAATTAAAAAAAAAAGTACAAAAAAATAATAATAAAACAACCTTAATATTTTTTATGAGATCAAATTTCTTTAACTTTCTTTAACTACTCTACTTTAGTTCAAACAATTATCGCAAATATCAGGATTCAATGTACAGGTCTCGTGGGCCCATCTATTGCAACGAACACACTGAATCCAGTCAGCATTTGAGACCTTTTTGGCGAAGTAGTGACCATCACACAAAGCACAAACATTTTGTTCGTCAACATCCTCATTGTCATCACTACTAATAGAAGGAGATCTTTTTTTTCTGATTTTTCATTATAATTTTCTTTTCAAGTTGTTTCTTTTGGATTCGTTCTTCCCCTTATATATTTTTGGACTTGAAGTGATTTCGACTCTCTTCTGTACGGTTTTCTTATGTTGATTCCTTTGGGGTGTAGGGCACAAACACTACAATGACTTTCTTATTTCTTTGGTGTTTAAACCCAATGTATAAGGTTGAGAATTGTCTTCACTTTTTGCTTATTTGACGAGTAATTGGGTTGCTTTGATTATATTGTCTTCAATTTTGCAAGAAATATACTTAGGTTTCAACATAAAATTTTACATAAAACACCCACAAGAACTTTTTTTATCTCTCGAACAAAATTTACTTGCCAGACGCCATTCCAAAATGACAAATAGTCAAGGGCGCTGTCTGTGCTTGTTTTTGTTTTGCCAGTAAAGAAACATATAGTGATTAGTAGAAAATCTTGAGGTGGTACAATTTATCCGGTGGTACAATATACCCAACTTTCTTCTACCTAATTCCTTAATCTGTTACTTTTCTGTCTCAATAAACGATCCTCTAGGAATTAAGTACCGTCTAGCCATGATGTAAGCTACGCGGACAAAACTATACCTTCTTGTATGTAGGCATATAAGTTTAGCATAAATTTTGAAAATATGACTGTGATATTTTTGATATTATATTATTGTCTGCATAATTATCGGCCAGCAGCTTAGTGGTCCTAATTTGTTTACTATTAAAAGTTTAAGTGAGTCAACCTTAAACTTAAGACATAATGTTATCGCGAACTTTCGAACTTTAAAACAGGAACGATTCCGTAATAACGAATCAAGCAATATTATCTCTCGGTTTTTGAAAAATATTTATAATCAATAAAGTGAATTAATCTGGTCAGAATACTTAATTTACTTAAAGTCATATAATTATGTTTTACAGGTATCAGAAAGGGCCTGGCTTATTTCGTATGGTGTCAAGTCGACTCCACAAGGACTGCTGGTATCAACACTAGGCCTCAGAGCACCAGCGCATCCACTAATGAGGTTAAGTTGTATCGCCAGCATGGGTACACTTCAAAGAGAACGAACAGTTATACTAGGTTAATATTCACAGTAAAATTACTTCTATTTATAATTATTTCCTTTTTTCTTTTGAATGCAGAAAATTACTTCATTCTATGCTTAACAAAAGTATAAAGTAACTTGCGTATTGATTAGTTAATCAGCATGGTAGCTGGACGTTTTTAGTGATGGGTAAAAATAACATAAACAAATAATGAAATAAATACATTGATAATAAATTTGCATTTCTATACATATATATGAAACTAATTATCAATATCGATATTGTAAATATTTTTACACATCTCTAAAACCCTAAAGGTACGAAATTGCACTTCCGACAACGGGGTTAAAAATTAATACGTACCTATTTTATCACTTAAACGTTACCTATTAAATACTAATCTCCGTTGCCAATTTTTTATATTAACTTTCATGTCGACATTCCATAAACCTCCTAATAGAACGAGGAAAATTTTAATAGATAGCATTGAATAGTCTTCGAAAGTACAGGACCAATTTGAAAGACTTTACCGTTAGAATCCTACTACGTTATCCGCAATGAACAAAGGCGATAGAATTTTTCAATATATAATTTTTATTAAATAAAAAAGCCGGGCGGTCAGCTAGTGCATTATATATTCATTTGATTTTTAAGAAATAAATTATTGTTAAGGATGAAACTAAACTAAGACATTATTTTTTGTTCCAGAAACTAACTCATCGTCTACGATAAGGGCATTCAGTATGAGTTTTCTAGCACTCCTAACTGTTAATATTAGATTTTACGATAAGATATTGTGATACTTTTATATCTTAATTTAAAGAATAGTCTATTGTATAATTAATGTAAATAAAATTTGAATATAGTCAGATTCATTTTTTTCCCAGTTCCAAGTAAATGAAGTTATTACATTGTAGTTGTTATATTCTATTTAAATGTTGACATTTTATTAACACTGATGCAATATGTTCAGGGTTCCGGGCTTAAAATATACCTACCTATAATAGTTACTTAAAATAGTTTTATATCTCCATTAGCAGTTTTAATATTTGTAGTAATACTCATTTAATTTTTAATATTTTTTTTTACTTTTTTTTCTTTTCTTCAGGCAAAAGATTTGTTTATATAAGTTGGAGAAGACAAAGGCTCCTGAAACACAGTTTTCAGGTAGCTCGGGAGCCCTTGGATTCATTAAGTTTTGTTTCATTTGAAATTATGTCAATAAATACATTTTTACTTTTTTTTACTTTTACTTATTAATATTTCGGTTCGCCAGCCAAAAAGGTAAATAACCATTAGTCTAGATATTGAGCTATTTATATAATATTCGATCTCGTTGTTAGCGCGACAAATAAAATTAATCATCGAATGAGTACAATAGCACAATGTTACAGTTGAACTTATATTAACCTTTGGATGAAAATCATTACGATCCACTATAAAAGTTTACGGTTGTCGTAGGTGCCGACAGTGTGCTCAAAATAAATATTAGACAACATCAAATAAGTTGTTCAGAACCCAAATTAAATAGGTAACTCAACACCTAGGCACAAACAATATATAGAAAAGCTCATTTTCTACGTTGACCTGACCGGAAATTAAATCAGAGACCTAAAAGTTAGTGACATCGGCATGCAAGCCACTCATTGTTACGAATGTTTTCACTTGTAGATACCTATCACAAAAACATACATAAATTATAAGACAGTAAAATTTCAAAATGACGTTTGAAGCTTCATCGTCATCATCAGTCTTTTAATGTCCCCACTGGGGGGAGGGGTCGAGGCACACCTTCCCTATGGATGGGATCGAATCAAAACGAAAAAGGGAGAATGTCGGGTGTGCAATACGGATTGGTTAATGACTGCAGATGCAGTCGGGACTAACGTTCCTTCCGAAGCACGAGGAGCTCTAGATAACTAATTTCCTTGATATCGTATTGAATCAAAATGCACTCACCGTTAAATAATGTATTGTTAGATTGCATACATTGTATTCGTTCATTACATCGGGTTAAATCAAATGCACTGAACGTTCAATAACAATTTCGACGTTGATTCAATTGATTTTGAACTCTACCTACAATACACTAACGTTTATAATCAACTGGATATATTCGACAGTATGTACAGTGAGTATGTATATTGGGTAGTCGGTGGCTATCGGTGGCGCAGTGAGTAAGCGCCGCAACCCGCAATTGTCATTAAGCAACTTTCACAAATGTCGGTCCCAGGATGGGTGACCAAAAAATTATTATCTTGAGTTACTCCATACTACACGTTAAGCCGTTGGTCCCGCCTGCATATGCAATAGCTAATACCCAATACTCATTGGGCCAGAGCCCAAGGATGGAGACTCATGATCCATCCTCCTTAACCATCCATATGGAGGCCTGCAGTGGGGACGTAAAAGGGCTGATGATAATGTATAGCCTGACCTACTGTTGAATATTCACAATCTATATTTGTTACGTACCATTGCCATATTAGTGTATTCATCTTAATTTATCGCTCAGTTTGATCTGTGTTAATTAACTAATCATCAGCTAAGTCTAACACTCATATCTATATATCTATTTCTTACTTCATCCAATTTTATATTTATTTGGTAAGAATATCTGCTTAAGTTATTTCAAGTAATTATTTCTTTTGACTATAGATATAAGTGTAAGTATCAATATTCGAGTTATCCATTCAAAAATAAACACTTATTTTAAAGTAACTACCAAAGAACATATGAATTAGAAGTCAACTGAAATTTTTAAACATATATTTGCTTATTTAACATTATATAAAACAATAGACAAAAATATACTCTAATTTGGAAACCTAAGAATATGTTATTGTTGGGACACATTAAAGATACTTAAACAAAGGTGGTTTAGAATGACCAATAATAATTACAAAATTATTATAAACAAAAAAAATGTTGTTAATTTTATTAAAACTAATTATGAAATGCCATCAAATTGAAAAACACATATCACAATAAAAAATCACAATGATAGCAATACAATTTAGACAGTCAATAAATGTTTATATAAGTTCTTTTGTTTTCATAACAGAAGAAACTTTGTTAACTTGCTTTTATTAATTTAATGAACTATACATTCAAATGATTGAATAACTGTACGAGTTTTTAAACATATTTTTATTCTTTATTTGATAATAAGAAACTACTCCAAACTGAGTTATCAAAACACAATAATTTATTTAAAACATTGTAGTTCTCAATTATTCTGAATTAGATACTAAATAAATAAGAACATTGTTTTCAATATTTCTATGCAACCTACCTAAGTATACATTTACTAAATACATTAATTAATAATCAGATTCTGATACTACAATGAAAGTGTAATCTAATATTTTAAAAAGGCAAATTGGTGTCATATTCACACTGGAAAACAACTGCAAAGGACCATTTTCAGCTACATCAATAAAATATGTACCTTATAGTGAGTATACAGAACAGACAGTGCTTCTATTAATGGTTTACCTTTGCTTCACATTACATTAAAAGTAAACCACCATTATTTTTCACAACAGGAAGTCTGTGTACATGAATGAAGTTAGTAATAAGCTACATGCATTCTTCAGGTAAAAACTTATTGAAGTCACAGGTATGTAACTCATTAGTCACTGTGCTTATAAAACATAAGGTAATTCATAAATAAAATAAAGCATTAGCAGCTATAGAATATTATTTATAATCCAAAATTCGAATTTATATTTATTTACCCTTCTTGACCAAAATCTTCCATGAACTTCTTGAGTTTAGTCATATCTTCATCATTAACGGTAGGTTTAGATGTAGCCAATGATCGCAGCATATCAGACATAGTTACTGGTGGCTCACCCAATTTATCACTAGGTACATCCATCCAGGTCATTTCGATAGCTCCAGGGTCACCAGGAGAACAGGGTGTCAGAAGATCGTTCACAATCACATCAGGATTTGTGGGGCTCGGTCCTGAAATCTTCTTGAAGTGAGTAGCTGACTGTACTTTACGTACAGGTTGCATTAGAGCATCACGTACCACAATACTGATATCAGCACCGGAATATCCATCTGTCTTTGATGCCAGTACCTTCATATCTTGTTCAGTTAATATATGCCGTGTGTTCCCCAAATGTAGCTTAAACATATCAAGACGAGCATGCTCTTCAGGTAGAGCTATGTAAATACGTTTCTCAAAACGCCTTCTGATGGCAGCATCAAGTACCCAAGGTATGTTAGTTGCTCCCAGCACTAAAATACCATCCATATCATTGCCAACACCCTGCATTTGAACTAGAAACTCTGTTTTGATCCTTCTGGCAGATTCAGACTCATTGTCTGATCGAGAAGAACACAAGGAATCAACTTCATCAATGAATATTATACTTGGTTTGTGCTGTCTGGCCAATTCAAACAAGTTTTTGACAAGTTTCTCAGATTCACCAAGCCACTTGGATACAAGATCAGATGAAGATACAGAAAAGAAGGTTGAATTATTAGCTTCAGTGGCCACTGCTTTAGCTAAATATGACTTACCAGTACCAGGTGGCCCAAACAGAAGAATTCCCTTCCACGGTATTCTTTTGCCAGTAAACAAATGAGGGAATTTGATAGGTAGAATGACAGCTTCCTTCAATGCTTCTTTAGCAGCTTCAAGACCAGCTACGTCACTCCATTTTACATGGGGTTTTTCAACAACAATAGCACCCTCTAACTTACCCTGCAATTTCTTTTTCTCAGGGTCATCTGAATCACTGTCACTGTCACTCTTTTTATCTTCACTTTTTGAATTGGATTCACCATCTTTTACTGGTTTCTTTTTACGGTCTTTCTTGAGATATTCTTTGAGTTTTTCAGCTCTATCTAAATACTGCAGGCACTTTGCACGGATGCTTTCTTTAGCTCTTTCTCCTTGCGCCTCATATTTTACAGCATGAAGAAAATATTCCACACCATGCTCGTACAATCGCAATGCTTCTTCATAATTTTTGTTTTTATCTTCTTCTGTAGCTTTCGTAACAAGATCAATGGCTTTTTGTAAAGTATTAGATGATGCCATTATTTGAAGTTTTCTGAAAATTGATAATTAAGAAGTTTTATTATACAAACCCCATATATTCGTAAGATGTTGAATTATTTCTAATAGAACTTAATAAATGTTTCATTGATGTAAAAATACCAATGCCCATACTCGATTGTCAAAAATTTGGAGGAACCAAAATTCACCTAACAGGCGAAATTGTTACAAATACTAATCACTTTAATGAGTCACCACACAATTCCTTATTTTTATCCTCATACCATATGTATAAGTACTAACAATTTAGATATTCGAATGAGAAATGCATTTGTTACGTTACAATCTCATTGGAATGATAACAAATTTACTTTAAGCTCTCAGCAAAGCATTTTTAATACACGATATTTCACTTAGACATTGGGAACGATTGACACATAATGAGATTCGAGGAAGATAAATAATTAACTGCTAGAGTAGAAGTAAAGATATTTATTCTGCATATAAGAAACAAATAAATACTTTTTACTTACCATTTAACAGTGTTAGTCAATAATAATATTGTACTTAATGCCTGAAAAATCTAGTTAAATATATTTTTAATCGTAAAAATCGCTGTTTGTGACGGAGAAAAATGACATTGACAGAAAGTTGTGTTTTAGAGCAAAGGGATTTCGCCCAAACATCTTACTTTTTAATATTGAAATAAAAAGAGACTAAAATCTCCACAAAATAAGAGGTCCTTTTTGACATATGTCATCAGACCGTAAATAGTGACGAACAAACAAATACGATAACAAATTACCGTTTATTTTTTGATTATCGATTATAAAATGAGATATCTATTTGTTTCTGTGTCATACGTACATGATTGGTTATTTTTTTGTTTAATAGAAATCGCTTTTCCATTTTGAAATATGATCAACTGCAATAATAAGATTATTCGAAAATATCCAATACAAATCTTTATCCAATGAAGCAAATACTTGAAAATGTTATAGTATTTGCCTTTATTGATAATTTAGGCACTAAGTAAATGCTGGGTCCTAGGTATGTCTAAGAATAGTCATTCTGATTCAGTTCAACAACACAAGGAAAAATAAACAAATGTCAAACTTTTTAACAGTCGTAATACTTCGTACAAATTTTGCAATTTCATCATAAACTAATACGATTTCCACTATTATAATGTAAACAAAAATTTTAAAAAATAGATTATCGTTTTCAGCTCAAACTTATGATCGTACTGATTTTTACATTAGAATCAAAATTGTAGCATTTTTATTTTAATTGTAACATTTTAGTTTAAGGTAAAACCGGGATCGTTACACTTTCTTGTTTTATTTGATCGAGAATAACAATTTACCTCTTTATATATAATGACTAAAGTTGATATAAAAAAACATTCGTCTACCTACACTAATAACATAAAGAGGAAAACTTTGTTTGTATGTTTGTTTGTTTGTAATGAATAGGCTCAATAACTACTGGACCGGTTTTTTAAAATTCTTTCACCATTCGAAAGGTACATTATCCACGAGTAACATAGCCTATATTTTATTTTGGATAAAAAATAGGGTTCCGTAAGTTATTTGGGTTTATCGGACACAAGGTGTAAAAGTCCGGTACATAGCTTCTGCTTGCGTAAAGCTAAATTAGTTACTAAGAATTGGTTGATGTGTCTGATGTATACAGAGACTGAACACCTCCTTCCAACAACTGGTTGACATGCTGCTCTTATTCTTTACACAACACAATCTAAACACCTTTGTACACCCAAATGCACAATCGTATCTATTATTTATTTTGCTGAATTGTTAAATTATGTATAGTAAATTTTGAAAATTTATAATTCTTTGCAATTATCTTCGGTCACTAAAGTTCAGGTCTGCGAGCCTAGTGTAGTGATCACTGTCTAGCTAAGTAACTATACACTGTTTGGTAAATAACCAATATTTGATTGGATTTGGTAGGCTGACATTAGATAGGGTTGAAAAACTCGATTATCTTTTTACTGGGCGTTGACGAACTTGAGTTAGAGAGCTGATAGACATTTTTCGACAAGTGTTAAATGCATTATAAAACTTGTTCAATGACCGTCTTATCCAAGATTATTGCGTGCACGCGCAATCACGCGTGGAATCGTGTTACCTCTATATTATTTAATCTAAGTTGTATTAGTAACACCCATTTTCACTAACCTAGAATAAGGCATAACTTAACTAGGATACGCCTAAGCAGATTAGTTTTTATGCAATTTTTTTTTCTTTATCCACATGTCATATACGCAAATGCCTAGCACAAGGCGTCGCATAACGAATATCATAACTTAAGACATTATTTGATTTCGTAAGGTGGTTACTAGTCAATGGTGAAATCCATTTTACCTTAGACGATTCCTAAATATTTATGCGACAGATATAGGCGATTCCTAAGTTTTGTGAAAACGGGCATAAGTGTGCTGTGAATATTAATTATGTTAAAAGAGAAAACACTATGCGTAGTTACTAGCGCAAATAATGAAATGCGACGAGAAAATTAAAACAAAGAGAAGTAGTTATATACAGCTTTAGAATGTAATATTATAATATATCATCATTATTTATTGACCAAAAAACATAATAATTCTAATTTAAAATCTCATATTGTAGTCCTTTATTCTTCATTAACATTTCGTCTATATTTGTATCTCGGAAGGCAGCACCAACACCAAGCACTCCACCCCTGAAACAATTAAAAAATAGACAGGTGATTATTCCAAGCAGTGTGTCATAATTACATTACTTAAGAGTGAAGACCACTGCTTGAAAATGCGTAGACATAGAATTTGTGTAGCTAGGTATGTGCGAAGCATTCCCTCATCTGTGCTTTCTCGTCAATATTGGCCTCGCGAGGCCTTGCGGTGCAATTTTTAGTGATCCGCAGCTGAATGGCTAAAATCTTAGCTTTATAAATTCATCAGATCTGTCTATGTATAGGGTAAGGTCTATCAGTAGTTACGTCACAACCACTTTGTAATCGACAGCAAGAACAGAGGACTGTATATAATTAAATAATAATAACTTTTAGCGCAGAGAGACATTTATTAATCAACGTACAAAGGGCAAGATACATTGACAAAGTCAAAAAATAAAAAAAATATAAATTAAAAACAAGTATAAAAGCCTCCTTAAAGAGGCCAGTAATAATATTTCAAAAACATGATAAGGCTGTCGGCAACATCTTTATTCCGAAACTACGAGTATTAGACCTTGACACTCCCTTTTTTGGGCAGACGTGTAAAAAAATTAAGTGAGGTCCCGAGTTCAATACCAGGTTTTCTGGCAGAGTTTGCCGCTGTTACGGAGGTCGTTCTAAAAGCATATGTTGGCTACAGAACTCGTCGTCAATCTGTTCCTCTCAATGTACACAAGCCGTGTGTCATATGTTACATGATGTGGCAACATGCGTCACATTTCTGCAATGGATTTAGACCTCATTCCCAACACATTAAGGTTTGAAATCGAGTGGGGAAATTTGTCAAATTGTACAGTCTGACGTGCAGTTTACTGTACTACACAGTAGGCGCTACATCATAAAATTATACTTACTTTGGTATTTTGTCGTTTTGTAACAAAATGGTTAAAGCAGATACTACTACTGCTATAGAAGTCGTTTCGTATCCAGGGTCAGCACCTGAAACCTGAGATTATTTATAGGTAAATAATTTTAATCTTTGAAGGATGCAATGGGATACAAACTATCGGGTTGGCACAAAAGTAATGAGACACTTGGTTTAAGTTTTTACTTTTTTATTATTATTACAATAAAAAAAGTTTAGTCAATGATGTAATTACAATTAGTATCTAAGACTTCTTGCCAACGATCCGGCAAAGTTTGGATGCCTTTTGCCCAGAACTCTGATGGCTGTGCCTCGAAAAAGTTGTTCAACTCCGCCTCTACGTCAGAGAAATCATTAAATTGTTTACCCCGCAAATGCTGTTTTAGGGCTCTAAACAAATGATAGTCTGATGGGGCGAGGTCTGGGGAATAAGGTGGGTGGGGTATCGTCTCCCAGCCCAAGTTCTCCAACTGCCGGCGAACCACAGATGCGACGTGAGGTCGAGCGTTATCGTGCAGTAAAACTACATTAACTCGTCTTCGTCGTTTTTTCTTGATAGCGGCAGATAATTTGGTAAGCTGGGTTGAATATTTGTCAGCGTTTATAGTTTCATTGTGTAATAGCTCATAAAACAGTATGCCTTGCGCATCCCAGAAACAGCAAAGCAGAATTTTTCGGCGGTTCTTTTGACTCGGCTTCGATTGAGTTGGTGGCGTTTCTTCTCGAGGCAGCCAAAAAGCACGACGTGTATCGTTCTCGTAATAAATCCATGATTCATCTCCAGTAACCAGATCTGACAAAAACTCTTTACGTTGGGGTCGCAGCAAAAGTGACTGACAGATAGCGACACGGACTGCACGACTGGCGTCTGTAAGGATGTGCGGTACCCATCGAGCCAAAACTTTTCGATAACCAAGCTCATGCAGATGGTGTTCCACGGCGTGGTGACTGCATTTAAGTGCTTCCGCTAATTCACGAGTGGTAGCATCCGGATTCAACTGCAGTTCGCGGCGTAAATCGTCATCATTCACTGCGGGTGGTCGCCCTGAGCATGGCTGACTTTCAAGGCTCCTGTCTCCTGATTTAAAACGGTCAAACCATCGGGACACCGTCGCATGGCTTGTACTTCCAGCGCCTAATGCATTGTTGATATTGTCAGCCGCAGCCAGCGCACTGTGGCCTAACAAGTACTCGTATAAGTATAGTGTTCGAACTTGTCGCTCGTCCATTTTTCTTCAAACTAACTAAATAAATCGCGAGCGCGGCTTTATATACCCTACACCAGAAGTACCTAGAATGTTCTACAACATTCTAGAATATTATCGAAAAAATTGATTTTAAAAAGTAAATGTTATAGATTTTTCTAGTGTGTCTCATTACTTTTGTGCCAACCCAATACTACGTTTATTATCAACTAATTCACGTACCTACTACCTAACTATCGTAAGGACCGGTCATAGGATGGGCGACCAATCATTTATTATCTCGAGCTCCTCCATGGTTCGGAAGGCACACTAAGCCGTTGGTCCCAGCTGCATCTGCAGTCTTTAATACCCACCAATCCGCACTCGACCCTCGTGGTAGGTTAAACATTAAAGAGGTACATAATAAAAAATATTATAACTAATTTTGTGCGACTGAAATCAGGAGATCTGTGTCTTACAGGAGCGGTTTTATAAGCCCAAGCCTTTGTAAAGCAAACTGCGTTCATCAACACAATATAATAAATACGTTTAAAATTAGTTTTTTTTACTCATCAACCTCTAATTACGTATGTGTTCGTCACAGTGTCAATATTAAATGCTGACGCTCGTCACATATATAATAAACATTAAGTAAATGAGCTAAGGCTCGTATATTAGAAGTTGTGTTTATTTAATAAAATTATCAGCAAGTTGCACAAACGTCCATTAAAATTGTCATCAGTTTAAGGCGACATTACCGATACAAATTTGACATTCATTAGAGTTTAAAGGTGTCATTAAACCTTAATGAACGTTTGTGCAACTGACCGTATGTCTCTAATAAATAATAATAAATAAAAAAGTCTTTATTTGACCATGAAATAAAAAAGATAGATATAAAGCTTCTGAAAAGGGTTCATAAAATAATGTTAAAATACACCTCGCATATAGGTAGCATCCATCACCGAACTAGGATCTGAAACACCGGTATCTGGCGCCTCTAACCTCGGACATTTATTAATGTTATACATTTTTTTTTCCAGTGTATCTTAAGGAATAATAAATAACAAACTAATTTCAACAGTTATGTAATCTATATCTATACTTTTAATAAATCTATAAAGAGGTCAATTCTGTACATGAAATATATTAACAAAATCAGGGGGTGATTAGGGATCGATACTGATGCCAAAAATGCAATCAGTAAAATTTTTGTCTGTCTGTCTGTCTGTATAACCGTTTTAGAAACAAAAACTACTCAACGGATTTTAACGAAACTTGGTACAATTATTTTTCATGCTCCTGAGCTGGTTATAGATTTTTGAGAAACACATTGGTTTAATGACATTAGCTTTTAGTCTTCAGGTAGCTACAAAGACGAACACATGACAAAGACATGTCTTATAAAAAAACAGGAACCTAGGGTTTGTTAATGCCAAGTTAATAATTTTATTTTGTTACTATTTTATCATCCTGGACCCGACATATCTATACTAATATTATAAAGCTGAAGTGTTTGTTTGTTTGTTTGAACGCGCTAATCTCAGGAACTACTGGTTCGAATTGAAAAATTATTTTTGTGTTGAATAGACCATTTATCGGGAAAGGCTTTAAGCTATATAACATCACGCTGCAACTATTAGGAGCGAAGAAATAATGGAAAACGCGGACGAAGTCGCTGGCGGCCACTAGTAGAGAATAAAACTTAATTAGACTGGGATAGATATATGTAATTATGTGACTTCAAAGCCAAAAGTACCATGGAAGTGACAAGAACAAAGAAACATCGCCAACGAAGTATTTTATAAGCGTACGAACCATAATATACTCGCATACCTACCTACAGGAACTCGTTAATATACAAATATTTCTCACTTTTTTATAGCGTAATAGTGATTTGTGGTTTTACATCATACTTTTGAATTATCCAATAAAATCATTTGAGTACTTAAGTTTTTTATTAAAGTTAGTCCTTGACAATAAAGTATGTTGCTAATCACAGAAAAAGGTATAAACTCGAAATCTTTAGAATTTTTCTCTTATCACATTGAATTGGTGACCGTAATTTGTTTCGTAATCGAAGTGAAAAGTAGTGTAACACTGACTCTAAACTCATTATAATAACTCGGTCACTATCCACGCCCTCGGTAAAGCTAGGGAGTAAAAGTACCTCGTAATAATTGGTAATTTTAGCTTCTTACTTAATCATCATGATCAGCCATTTTACGTCCCCACTGCAGGGAGTCAGGCCTTCCTTATGGATGTTTAAGGAGGATGGGACATGACCCTCCGCGCTGGCCCGATACGGATTGGAGGGTACAACTGCAAATACAGCCGGGACCAACAGCTTATTGTGTCTTCCGAATTACGGAGTAACTCGAGATAATAATATTTTGGTCACCCATACCGACCCTTGCAAAAGTTGCTTAACAACAACGATCGCAAGCCGCGACGATCATCCACTACGCCACCGAGCTACTCGTACATCTCTTGCTAAATGAATAAATGACTTAAGTACTGTTATTATTCGTACTAAATTAAATATAGTAAGTATATTTAAAGTTTGTACTTACTTGTACAGTTAAAGATTTTTCTTTTGAATCACTGCCAACACCTTTCCCTAATAAGCTCAATTTAAATTTCGTTTCTTTGGCAATTTTTTCGGTTGGGCCTTTATGTGACACATAGCCTAACGAGAAGAACCGTGGGTACTTGACCAGCCAATTCCTGAAGAACTTAAAGTAGCAAAGATAAAAATAGAGGAACATAGCTGGTACAATTATTAACATCTGGAAAAACATCGGTGTTTTCGTATATAGTTTGCAGTGATATGGTTTCTTCCCATTCTTCTCGTATAAATATCTTTGGGACATGTCATTTACATCTCTGTCGGGTCCGGGGTAAGGAAACCAAAATTTTCCACGTTGACGATGGAAAAATGACCTGAAAAAATAAAATTTGGATCGTTAAGTAGGAATTGTGAAATTTTATTATACAGGAAATATTTGTAAGTAATTAGTTTAAATTTTTTAAGTAATTAGTTTAAAAATTAAAGCTGGACCGAGAAGGTGACCAATGTCCGAGTTCTCCAACGAGTTGGCCAAAAACGCACGCTTATGGCAACTGTTAAACGGCGTAAAGTCTCGTATTTAGGCCATGTTCTTAGACATCAGAGATATGATCTCCTGCAGCTGATCATGATGGGCAAAGTTGCGGGAAAGAGAAAAGTCGGAGGAAGGAAGAAGTCGTGGTTGCGGAACATCCGAGAGTGGACCGGGATAGCAAGCGCTGCTGAGCTGTTCCGCCGAGCTAAAGACAAGAAGGACCTGAACATGCTAATAGCTAACCTTCACTAGTTGGAGAGGCACCTTTAGAAGAAGAAGTTTAAAAATATTTTTAGATTTTCGCAATTAGAAAATAGTTCTATTAGACGATAACAGTAACTTCAGGATAATTGCACGACATCGTCGGTCTTGTAGTCTAATACAATCACTACTACTGCTGTGTCGTTTATCGTCGTCGACAGATTGTCGTACCGATATCGGGTGACGACACAGTTTTTCGCTGTCTGACGACCGCCTATCAAAACGAAGAAGAATTTTCAATTAATAGTACCTTATTTCAAGAAACATCCAGATCTTTCAATGCGTTAGGACATGCGTTAGAACGAAACGAAATATCTTATGGCAGAATATATTAGACTTGTCAAGGTTCACATGCAACGATCCGTGAGTGCGGCCTTACGCATAGGCGTATAAAATATATTTAAATTTTAATACAATGTCATCTACAACATTGCACTAATACCCAATTTAAATATATCAGACCAATTTGGTTGGTAAATAGTTGGTTTACATTTACATTATTTACATTTACAAGCTTAAATAAGAATTTTAATTTAAAGATACGCTCGGATATCCACGTTATGATAATAAGGTAAGCCAAAGCCACTTAGTTATAATTTGAAAATTCTGAAGAGCTAATTTGAATCTCAAACAACTTTGAATCTTAAATTATTTCTTTTAATTTTCGAATAATTAATAAAAAAGCAAAGAATCTTTGCCAGGTTTTGTTATTTTTGTTTTTTTGCTGATTTTCCACACAGCTTATATCTAGAAGTAAAGTTGATTCCTTGGTAAAGCTGCCTGGAAGAGATAGCCGCTCTTTAGATTTGAAATCGGATATTGTACAGTCAACCGCACGACAGACTATACAAAACTGTCAAACTTTAATACATCGAGAATAGCGTTCAAAATCATAAAAAGGTAACCAGAACTGCAACCGTGTGTACAACAATATTTGTTTTGTTATTATCCAATATCCTTTGACGCGATTGACATAAATTCATCATATGTATGTGTTTCGCCACCTCACATCTCACAATATGACGTCACATGTCACCCTAATAATACAGGCTGTTCAAATTTGAATTAACTAGGTATTTAACTCTAAAACTATAATATTTTGTCCTTAACTGCTTTCTGTTCAATTCGAAAAAATATATTACTACAATGGAAATATGTGTTTTATCAAAAAACTAAATTTGAAAACCAGTTATTAATATTTGTTACCAAGGGTCGAATGCGCATGTTCGTATTGAAATTAGCCGACTTTTTTCTTTATTATTGGAAGATTTAAAAAATAAATATATAAAATACAAAATTTTGTGACTAAAATAAATGAATCAAAAACAAACACTTGATGGATATCGTAATAATTATCCAATATCATCATTAATTCCAACAAAAGAAATGGGAATGACAAAGTCAAAGTAAAATATCGCAATTAACCGAATACTTTTGTTAGCAATTAACATTGGAATTAAATGAGCAATAATTTTCGACATTTCGAAAGTAACATTTTATATCCAAATACATAATTAACTTCGTTTTTTATAGTTTATCGAGTGCGTAATTCGTTACGGAAACAATTACGCACATTTTAACCTTAATACTTATATTACACAATCTTCAACTTATATAAATCAATATACATTTTTGAAATCAGTTTGTTTGTCTTGTTTTCACGGCGAGCTAGACAGAGACATATAACAGGACAGTGTGAGGTGCGGTCCTCTCTCTGACTTATTTTATTACTAAAAAATATTTATAATATGATTTGAATACATACATGCCATATAAATAAAGTATTAAAATATTTAAGATATTTCCATTAGTTTATAAGCTATACCAACAAACAGAATAACCATAATATGAAGTGTTAGTCTTGGCTAATTAAAACATTTTTTTTTTCTAAATCTAGAAATAGATGTATATAAATAAACCAATATTCTTTCTGATTTCAAAGAAAGATATTTAATATCATGGTACAATTATTAAATCAATAACATGCTACTTGCTAAGTATTTGATGAACAAAATAGGTGTTATGTAAATACTATAATAGGTTCTGTTTACAAATATTTATAATATAATATCTAAAAATAACGAAAAGCAACTTCAAACAAATCCTGTATTTTTTCTTTGAACAAAGTTAAAAACATTTCCATTATATTGAAATGGCAGCAAGAACTTTATAAACAACGTTGCACATATAATATTCTTTAATGTATGCAACAACAACCAGTTATGGCTTAAAATAAACTAGAGTAAATAATTACTCAATTTTTTCTTATTATATACATCTTTGGCATTGACCGCGGTTACATATTGTGAAAGTGGAACTCTTGAATAATTGACCAGTTCGGTGTTCATTAGAAATTTTATTGGTATTCATGAAGTGTAGTGTAATTCATTTACAAGTTATTTTGCAAGTAGTAGGATTGTAGCACTTTGTGATCTGAATTCATAAGTCAATGGATAAATAGAAACTATTATATTCATATGTAGATCAGCATACTTTTCTCGTTTAACTTGAAAATGTAGTTATTATGAAGTCCACTAACTGTGTACCGATTAGGCTCACTCCAAAATGTCTTCTTGGGTAACCTTAACATTTTTATTCTACTCGAAACAATGTTAGCGATTGTTAGTTGATTTATTTGTTACATTATAGATTATTATGTTATTCGGAGTCGATATTTCAATCTTGATGTTAGAACATTAAAGTTTTATTATCAACTTCACCCGCGTAAATTATAGCCCGTGTATGATGAAGTTTACCGTAAGTGAAATAATATCTAAAAGCGGTCCAGTACTTCCGGAGCCCATTCTATGCAAACAGATCTCCCCTTCTTAATATTAATATAACAAACTGTGCATTAATAATATTGTTTGTAAACAAAAATATCAAACGCACGGAGTGAGTGTATTTTTGTTTTTATTAACTTAATGTATTTTTAAGCGTTATAAAAAATACCAGGGTATCTGCACTAATTCTTCTTCAATTTTATTCCATCCTTAGGGAAGACTTGTATTCCAGCGGGCGGACATTAATAGATCGGTGAGGGTGATGATGAAGAGTATCGACTGTTATAATATTAAGTTTTTTTTAATTTTCTTCCGTCCACGCAATTTTCGTAAAAAGGAGTCCGAAGTTTTCCTTCACGTATAGTATTTATATTTGCTAACGATAATCACCTATAATAATATGTTAATAGATTGAAAATTGAAAACATTTATAGTTAAGTTTCTTTACATTTAAGTAAAGTATGCAGGTACCATTTTGGTGGATAACTTTTTGCCAACTTGTAGGTAGAGACATGATCCCATTACTATAGAAATTTTGGGGCTTCCGATCAAAAACCGTGACAAGGGGTTTTGACCGTCCTCGTAAGATGTTAACCTGACGCTACCTAAAAAAAATCTGAAGAAACCGAAACAGGTAGAAATCTGAAAGTGCAAAGACAGGACTCTCTTAATCACTTCTCTTTCACGCTTGGCTGTTCTTATCATTTCTATGCTGACGATTTGCAAATATATGTGCAAACAACGACCGATGAATTATAACAGGTATTTCCAAATTGAATGAGGATCTCTCTTATGTCAGTGCTTGGTCAACTAATTTTGGGATTTCCGTGAACCCAACTAAATGTCAAGCAATTATGGTGGGAAGCTCCAAACAGCTTATTTAACTGGATTCTAGTCTACTCCCACCTGTTGTGTATGAAAACTCTGTAATACCCTTCACTTCTACTGTTAAAAACCTTAGACTTCATATTGATTCGGAGCTCAGGTGGACATCACAGGTTGCCGAGGTCAGTCGTGTGGTTACTTATTCTTTGCGCTCGCTTAATTGCTTCAGACATTTCCTTCACCCTCGTCACTTCCCTTATTCTTCCTGTCATTGACTATGCTGATGTCTGTTACCCTGATTTAAACAAAGATCTTCTTAATTAGTTGGACCGCCTTGTCAACAATGCAATTCGTTTTATTTTCTACCTTCGCAAGTATGATCATGTTTCGTGTTATTGTTATCAACTAAAATGGCTTCCTATTCGCCAGCGCAGACAGCTACGACTGCTCTGTATGCTCTTTTCCGTGCTTTCTAACCCTAATTCTCCAAATTGCCTTAAAGGTAAATTTCAATACCTTTGTGATTCTCATGACAGGCAACTGCGTTCTGCTAATACACTTGCACTTTCTACTCCGCTTTTCCATTCTGGCTTTATTGCCGACTCTTTCACCTTTCATGCCATACGACTGTGGAATGGCCTCCCCGACACCATCAGACGATCTCCTAATAAATGGCGTTATTGGCCATTGAATTTGTTAAATAAATAAATAAATATTTTTTGCTGAGTGGCAAAAATGTGTGAGTTCTAGCATTGTCATGATGAAAAACCACATCCCTTCTATTAATCAATTCTGGTCCATTTCTCTCAACTTCTTGCTTTAGTCTCATCAGTTGTTCGCAGTAGAGTTCTGAATCCATGGTCCTGCCTGGTGGTAACGACTCATAGATTAATGGTAACAATTCCCACCATATTAACAACATCACCTTCTTGCGTGTTGGCCCGGGTTCCGCCACAATCTCTAAAGCCTGTCCGATCTTTGACTACTACGCCGATCTTGCTCCACTTTTTCAAAAATGGTATCCATTTTACCGTAACAGGGCGACCCGAGTGATTTGTACTTTTGACGTCAAAATTTCCGGACTTTTTAGCTTTTTAGGAGCGTTTTAGCTTAAACCAAATTTGTAATACTTTCACAGAAAATGCACTGGGTCCATAAACGTCACAAAGTTTTTCGCGCCTTGCGTTGCATTTGTACCGTTTTTGTAATAAAATTTTAAAATGTATCGAAATTGTTTATTAGATTCACTAATAACAAAAACAAATGAAATTCATACATTGCCCTTATTTGAATTCGAAGTATATTCTTGAAAATTTAAGCTTTTTAATGATACCGAATCCAACTATATACAAATGGTATAGCCAGAAAGATTTAATTACAAGTTTATATGCAAAGACTTTTCCCCAACCTATTATGTCGACTCAATAATGAAGACCACAAAGGTGCTGTACCATCTAAAAACAAAATAAATTTACGCCGTTTTTACCATTTCAAATTGTTGTTTTTTAACAGGAAAGTACCTTTTGAATCCTGGCGGTTCTGGAATATAAATATTCTGAGGAAATGTTTCCGCTTTCAAGCGCTGGTATTCTCTTAAATTCTGCAGTTCTTGAACTAGAGATGCCCATGTTCCAAAATGTATGACACATTTACCCGGGAAGTTTGCCCGTTTAGGTAAAATTATGTCAAAATAGCCTTCAACTGTATTAAGAGTTCCTGAAAACGAATCGGTAATATTAACAAAAGACGGCTTTACACTAAAATACAATCTTGAGTATTGTCCGCTGGACCAAGTCAATCCAATCAATAATTTTTCCTGGGAAATAGTAAACAGGAAGTATGTAGATAGGTATAAAAACAGAACACAAAAATATTTTTTCTGTGGGTACATATTAACATTTTTCATAAAATAATATAAAAGCGTGACATCTATCGAGCAATACATATGTGGCTACACCACCAGTAAGACAGTAATAAGACTACATCAGTTATAGGAAAATTTATTTGTATATCCGCCAATGAAATAAGGAGCTCTTAAAAGAACTATTTCAACGTCACTGTCCGTATGAAACAAAGGAGAAAGCAACGCAACAAGTGCGTGTCAACAGCTGCGCGCCACATGTCAACCTTCCGCAACGCAGTCACCCGCACGCTCACCCGACGCCTGGCAAAAAGGATCTCGTTAACTCTATGCCAGCCTTTATACGCCACGTCACACGATCCCTCGTCCCGCGTCTCAGTCCCTTTCCCTTTCCTCTCGTCACTTTCCCCTTCCATTGTAAATATTGTAGCTTTCTTGTAATTGGTTTAAAATGTACATTTCTCATTGGTTAAGTTTGTATTTATAATTTTAATTGGTTAATATTATATTACGTTTTAGTATAAGTAGCTGTAAGATTTTGTAAATAAAACATTCCATCCTTCCACCTTCTACGGAGTTTTACTACCCGACGACAAGCAAGCCTACGACCCGATCAGAGTTGCCAAACATACCTATCTACTTCCTACTATTTTTTTATAAAAAAAATGTAATATTGTTGTAGTGTTTTATTATAATTTTAAATTTTCCAGGAAAAAATGCCGTCTATAATCTAAGAGAGTAAATAGATTCAATTTAATAGTATCTTATAGAATACTAATTGATGCGTTATGTAATCTTAATCAACCATGGTGACGCAAAGGTCACTACGAGCGTCAGATGATAATGCCTTGACACATAATCTAGATACCTGGACGAACAGACTTATTATATAAATGCAAGTACTTTATGACGTAGGTAAGTTTTTAGTCAAACGCCTTTATAAATCCTTTAAATAGAAATAATATGTTTTATAAATGAAAAATACCATTAAATTTTTTTTCTAGATAGGCTATTCCGGTCTCAACTGGTACAGCGGCAAAACCACAAGCTGGAACTATAAGAACATTAGCTTCCTCTGCAACTTTGTGGTAAATCCGATACAAATGTATCATATGCTGCAAATATATAAAGAAATTAACTCAGTCTATTTTTAATTATTTGTTCAATTTCGATAAGTAAATACCTATGACTCAATACTCTCTGTACTAATTATAAAGAGAAAAGATTTTATTGTTTATATGTTTGTTTGTTTGTTTGCATCGAAAAGGCATAAGCCATTTTTTATCCTGAAAAAATGGGAATGGAAGTTTGTATAGGGAATTAAAACGTTACCATAGTAACAATTGTTTACTATTCAATTTGTCATTGGAATTATATGTGTGTCATAATATGAAACCTTATCCAAATGAATTATTAAATTAAATTCTAACACTGGCTTAACATAAAGGTTACTTTTTATCCCACTACACGGTTCCCTAAGGACCGGGTATGACGCTGGCGGAAAGCTAGTAATTTATTAAGTGAAGTACATAATGTAAGTGGAAGGTATCGTCTCAATCCTTAAGTGTATTTTAATAATAATGTAAACCACAAAAACATACTAAAATGCACCCTTTATCTCTGAAAGTACTAGGCCTAAAAATTATTGAAAAAAAAACCCGGTCGAGCGCGAGTCAGACTCATGTTTCATTTACGTTCATAAAAAATCGCGTTTGTTGTATGAGATCACGCTTAAATATTTATTAGACTGACTTCAGACGCAGAGGAGTTCAAGATAATAGATTTTTGAACACCCATCCTATGACTTTAACAAACGTAACGCAGACTTATCGCACTGCGCCTTCGAGATCCTCGAAAATAATTTTTAGTACTTACATACAATTCTGCTGATATATCTACATAGTGAGTTTTAGTTTCCACACAAGCCCTTACGATGGGCTCACTGAGAATTGTGTTGGGTCCGGTACAGTTGATCACGACTTTAGCTCTTCCGGTGACATCACGTAAATCATCTTTTTCAACGTCGCATTTTATAACAGTAACATTCGTCTTTGTTTCGCCTAAAAAAATTGAGAAAAAAAGCTTAATTTTTAAATAAAACTTAATTTCTTTAATTTAATTCGGGTGGATGGAAGTTTTGTAGGTCAATCATATTAACCGCCCGACTTTAAAATAAGCTCGACGTCTAAATTGCGATAAGCACATGGACACACTTGAAAATCTAAATTCGAAAAATGAATATTTAATATATATAAACTTAAAAAAATAACTAATATTACTATTTTACATACATACAGGTCAAATTGATAATCTCCTTTTTATGAAATCGATTAACAGAAGTTAAACTATCTCGATAGTTCAACATTCTGGCGTCCCAAACCCAATCTTACGCTAACACAGGGGGGGGGCATTGCCCCCTTTAGCTTATAAATAAATAATAATTATCGTAAAAATCATAAAGACGAAACATGCGTTATGACAGGAGAGTAGTACAACAACGTCCAATAACCCCATCGCGCTCTTTTAATGAGTTTTATCTTCAGATATAAATTTAAAGTGGATATACTAAAATTGATATTATTTGATTTATCATTATTATGGAAATATAGCTAGTAAAATTATTGAAGATTGCCCCCTGCCACCCCTTATTTGTTAACGCAGGGAAATGCACCTTGTCTTAAATCAAGTCTCTCTAACCACTAGGACCAGCCCCGAGAGGCAGGGTCAAAGCTTGACTGGCCTACATGACAAAACCTGCTGCGAAGTAAAGTTCCCTCAGAAGGGGGGGATGGTGTAGGATCCCGCAAAAACTACTACTATTATTAATTTTAAGTCCCGAACCAACCCAAAAAAAAAATTGCTCCTCGCTAAAGCAATTCCTGTATTATTCTCGGAAACTTGAATTTTTGGTTTGATACAACCGTCTTTTTTTTTCTTCGAAAATCATTAATGATAACTGATATTTGTAAATTTAAAAATCTATACAGAATCTGACACCGTAGTAGACTCTGTTGTTGCTGAATTTAAAAAAAAATATATCAATTAAATTTAATTATTTTTGAAGAACAATAATGACGATTGTATCAAACCGGAAATTCAAGTTTCCGAGAATCACCATCCTGGATCCGCGCCTGTGGTAACCTAATATGTTCAAGTATTTCTCTATATCATATTTATCAATATACTTAATATTTACAGTAATTCAAAATTCGTTAAAAGAAAACAATTAAAAAGGTCAGCAAGGAGAATTTATATATTTTACGTGTTTCACATATCATTTGAATAAGTTAAAAATAACATGATATTTAGAATCGATATCAACATTGATTGTTTGTTTACGAATCGAGAGCTCGGTTGTCCTCCAAAATAATATGTTTGTCTTACCTTTTATCGGTGACATAATTTGTTTCAGTTTCGATAGCAAGTCATTTAATAAACTAATGACAGTAACTTCTTATCTCTTAGTCTATTTTCGAAACAATAATTTATCTGATACGAAGCAAGAGCAAGCCATTACACGAAATTATTATAAAAAAAAATATATGTTATTTTAATACCTATAATTCAGGTTAATAAATAAAACTGTTTACATTTTAAAATCATCACATCACTAATAAAAAAAAAATAACAATATCACTTCACATCGTCGTTAAGAAAACAATTAAATCACCAATAAAATTTTGCCCACTAACCAATTTCCTCAAGTTCCGATAGAACATTGTCTAGTTTCTCTTTAGAGCGTCCTGTTATGCCCCAGGAAACAGACAAATCAGGAGAGCCTTTTAAGATTTCAATTAAATTTTTCACTGCATGCTTCCCTGTGAAGCCGGTTGCACCAACAATAAGAACGTCGAGTCTATCCATCTCTTAACACGTAAATGTTACTAATTTAAAAACGCGTCACGCCAATGGGTAATGCGTGCGTAAACCTCGTCCTCCCATTGCCTACACCGAGTGAAACAAGAATGCAGGACCTCCAAAATCTGTACTAATGAATAATAATAAAGTTGCTTTTTAAAAGGTGTGGTTGGGCCACGCAAACAGAAAAATTGCCTAATAAAATAAGTAACACCTGAGCCCTTTTCACGTTAATTACAACAGTCGTCCGGTTGTTTTGATTTGATTAAGTAAGCTATTTAAAAATACGGTAGTTGCATTCTTCACTAAAGTTACCGTTTGTTTATCTATATTACAGTATTTGAGTATGAATGAGTAATAAATTCTTTTCGTAGCGTTCTCAGCAGAATTTATGTTTTTAGCGAATATAACGAGAAACTTAAGTACACAAGGCTGGACTTCAGACTACCACAATATATCTTTCCATGATTGATGTTGTATTTTTCCCTCAATGTAATAGGCTTAATAAAATGCAGTGGAGAAATTTGACAGTTTCATTTAACTATACAAAATTTATCAGTTTTGTGACAATATCAATCATGGAAAAACATGTTGTGGTACCTAATCACTTGTACTTAATTCGATATAGTTTTTTGTATGCGTGGAAACTTAAAAATATTCCATACTAGCTTTCCGCCAGCGGCTTCGCCCGCGTGATCTTGTATTATACATTCGCCCCGCGTGGTCTTGTATTATACATAAAAACCTTCCTTTTGAATCATCCTATCTATTTAAAAAAATCCGTTGCGTAGTTTTAAAGATTTAAGCATACATAGGGACAGAGAAAGCGACTTTGTTTTATACTATGTAGTGATTGTCTACCTACCTATATAGAGGAGCTCGTTGGCACAGTTGTTAGCGCGTTCGCTTTGCGATATGGTTGTTAAGCTACTTTTGAAATGGCTGGTCATAGGATTGGTAAACAAAATATTTTTTTCTCGAATTCCTCCATATTTCGGAAGGCACGTTAAGTCTTTGGTACCGACAGCATATGCAGCCATTATTACCCACCCAATCCGCTTTATCCACTAAAGAATCTTTGTTGTCCATCAATCATTTAAGTGCGATTAGGTCAATGGGAATATAATAGTCTGATATCGAACGTAGCTTGTTTAGACAAAAGCGAATTAACGAATTTTACATTTGTAAAATACCTAAGGGAAAAACAACAACTATTCGTCTTATAACCTTAGTATTAATTAGATAAGTATCGAATGTAACGATTAGCGTCATCTACCATGACCATCGTAGCCTTGATATTAAATAAATAACGTATAAAACGCTATTTGCCTCGATTTTATGGGTATAAATTAAAAATTATAGACAAAACAGAATAAATAGCATGAAAAAAGTATAATTTTTCCTTATAATGAAATGATGTTCTACGTTAAGTGCATCGCTTGAAAATCTTGATTGATCTGTATTTCTATTTTTTTTATAATTAATATTTGACGTATTCGTATGCGAAAGATTCTAGTGGGTATAAATTTCGAAAGGTACAGCTCACTCATCTCTAAGAAAATTCGTGACCTTATAAAATATTTATTAATTAAATCCTTCCTCTCTATAAAATCGTAACCAAATCTAAACGATGCCAGAATGAATACATAAGTCTTATCAGAAAATAGCTTTCTATTATCGACTTTATTCATTAAGGTATTGTAGAATAGCAAGTTCGCTGGTGGATAGGGTAAAATACCCAGAAGTCGACCCCGCAACAGTAGCCAGCCTTTACAGGCTTATAGCCAGTTTCACAAACGTCCATTACAATTTTCATTAGTTTAAAGCGACATTACCCATACAAATTTGACATTCATTACAGCTTAAAGGCGGCATTAAACTTTAATGGACGTTTGTGCAACTGACCGTTAGTCGTGTAAATAGTGTTGAACTTGTTTTATACCAAATGACGTCTGATCGAATCTTTGCTACCTCATTAGTTAATATGCACACCATCAAATCAAAAGGATGACCGGTTGATGAGCGTATTCGTTCTTTTTCACTGCCGCCAACCACGCCGCCGACGACATGACCGAAAGCGTCACCATTCAATTTTTTTTTTCACAAGGATACTTGTTCAAGTTTAGGGTAGGTTTTTTTTTTAGTATACTGTGAATTCCGGTGGATTTTTATGTTATATATGTATTAATATAAATAATACATTGATACATTGGCGGACTTAATGCCTTAGGCATTGTATTATGTACATGAAGTGTTAAATAATAAATAAATAAATAAAATAAATAATATGTGTTGTAATTGAACTAAGCATCAGAGGGATTTTATTTTTTTATTACATTATAGTTCAGTGGGCAGACTATTTGATTTCGATTTTTTTGGAATGATCCAGTGCTCGGCCTGAAGCGGCCTACAGATTTTATCAGGATTTCCTCTGATTTCGTTGAAATTCATACAGTAAAAAATCATTTTTTTTTACTTTAAAAATAAGTTAATTTTAGCAGTAGTCGGTGTATAAAAGTGACTGTATGTTTATGGCCGACTAATGGACTTTTGACTTCAACAGTCGGCCAATAGTTTTACTGCATAAAATTAAATTTTATTACCGTTTAATTAGGATGACATCTAGCACGTTTATTTTAGCACAAAAATCTTGAATTATAGAATCTTATATGTCAAGAAATTTTAAAAGCAAAAAGAACAGAAAAAGACAAAAGAAATAAGAATCACAATAAGTAAAAGCTGTTGAAGTCTAAATACCTTTAAGACAATTTTAAGAATATTTTGTTATTTGAAATGTACCGAATTTGCTAGTTTATTAAATGTCTATAAAAATGTATATATAAAAAATTGTATTTCCAATATGCATGAGTTACCCAAGTGGGTAAAAGGCCGTCTACAGGATAAGAGACGGCCAACTTATGATGCACACGAGGCCAAGTACTGGTGAAAAGGCCATAATTCGTTTAATGTTGATTATTTGTATAATCCTAATCTAACAATAACATTTTGGAAAATATCATTGCTGTTTTTTATTTCAAGCCCCTTTTTTTAAATATAGAATCGAATTAACATTCTCATTAAAAGGCAGACTACCCAGTAGTCTACTATAGCTACCATGTACATTAGTATTTAAAAAAAACAACGGACCAACGCAAACAAAGATATAGAAATATGGGGTAATTCTGTGTTCGATTCCGCTTCTCCGATAATGTGTTTAATGTTAAACAAGGTCCCGATATAACCTTGACCACAAAACTTGCATAACAAGTTACAGGTAAGGATTCGAGCCTAAAAGATTGACTTGAATGTTACACCACACCAACAAACAATATCGTATAATAATTACTACGATATGCAGATATTTTATTTTTTTTTATTTAGCTGGTCTAAAGAAAAAGTAAAAGTAGTCTACCACCCAGTTTCTGAGTTGAGGGTTTAAAATTAAGCATCCCAAATAGTACTTAAAAATCACTTAAACATTTAATAGAATCAGGCATGATTTATATTAGTGACGTAATTGTTTTTTTTTTTGCTTACTGTAAGCGTTTACCGAAATCTGATAAAATATGCATTACTTATAGGCTCAGATAGGTATATTCGGCTATAAAAAATTTAGAATGATATAAATTGCAGATTGATTTTTAAATATTTACTGACCATAACTTGCTGCACAAGCAGCTATTTCAGCTAACCGATTAGGTACATTGTTTTGCTCACAAATACATGTTTACTTTGCCAACCATTTTATCTTACACTCATTTGTTATTTTTATTAACCACCTGAGTTGTAGGTAGCAGAAGGAGTTCACAGAAGTAATGAATAAAAAACAAAAAGAATTAAATTTCAAATTTTACTAACACAACGTAGCTTTATACAATTTAAATTTTCCTACAAATTTTTTGACTTCATCCTTGGGATAAGGTTTGAGAGCCAAACAAGTTGGTATGTTCTCCGGTTGTTCAATCCAAAGCTTATGTGCTATTGAATTCTCTTGTAACTTTGTTTCAAGTTTTTTCAGTGCCTCCTCACTTGGAACCTAAAAGAGAAACATCATTAAAAATAAATTGGTTTGTTCGGCACAAAGTCGAGGTTAATGTTTTAAGAAGTCATTCAAACTCGAATAAATGTTTGACTTTTGAAAATTTCTATCGGTAATGTCACGTCAAACTAATGACAATGTCAATGGAAGTTTTTGTAATGGGGTCTTTAAATGTTAAAAAATATTTAAGAATGTAAGATACAACATTAGTTTACACATCTATAACAAAATAAATATATTAACAATAAATTTAGACAGCTTTTGTTTAGGTATTATATGCAATTAAATGTGGCCCTTGCACATTTTACGAAACCATTCAATGACATAAAAAGAGGCACTATTATATTGAATATTTTAAATACTCATTAAATAAATTAACGTAGGAAAACATTATTATTTTTATACTTCATTCATTATAACATTAGAAAAAAGAGGGTCACAGAAGCAGCAGTAACATTAACATTTTATTTTCAAGATAAATTTATATATATATATATATATATATATATGTTTTGTTCAAACTTTGAACGTTAGGTAGTCTGACAGAGCTGGGCAATTTTTCGTTATTTACGATAACTCGGGGTTGAGATGAGGCCAGCGTTTTCTAAATTTATCTTATACTCCCAAGCCAACGTGGAACTAAAACTATCTATCTGTTTTTTTGATAAATTCTAATTGTAAGAGTATATATTTAGAATAGTATTTAGTATGTTTATGTGTGTGTATAATGAATGAATAATTCTTTATTGTACATAAACACCAATAATATGAAGTAATAACACAAAGAACAAATAGTACAATCGGCGGCCTTATCGTTAAGAAGCAATTTCTTCCAGGCAACCGTTACAGTTTGGAAAATTTAAATTGTAATATGATAATATAAAATTATTATGTAATAATTATAATTAATTACTAATTATTATTATGCCCAGGAAAGAAAGGTAAACAAAATGCAATTTTTATTATTAAAGCTGGACTACCTACAGGCTGGGACTCTTAATTTGTTTGTAAATATTAATTAACGTTTGCTTTTCTGTATAATTCAGTGGATTTTGCGAGAATGAAGCAGACATTGAAATTCTTCTTAGGAGACATTGTTTTACTTTCAGGGTCAACTTTGGGGCCACGTTTTGGTCGCCGTAGGCTTTGATCAGCCTTAAAGCGTAATTGTTGTAGGTCACTCAGGCTTGCACCAGCATCGTCCGCATTTAACAACAAAAAGATAACAACTAAAACAAAGCTGTAACAATACAACTTACTTACAATAATAACTTAATCATGGAAAACGGCAAAACAACAAGAAAGGCAGTGGCATTCACAGCGTATGACAATCCCAGATTACGTATCTTGACAATTATGAATACATTATAATCTGACAAAATTAAAAAGCTGTACTGCCGAAACGTTTGAAGGGAATATGCAACGTTTTAAATCTGGTAGAATTATAGTGACATGAGAATCGTGCCGAAACTATCCAACCCTGCTTCTTTAGGTTCTTTAAGATGAACACTTTTTATTGTCATAGTTATAAAATTATTTAAGTTAGTTAAATACTCATAAATTTCTTTAATATATAGCTAAAACGACAACAGTTAAGTATAGCAGCAGGTATTTAAGTGGATATGTAGCAAATTAGCCGTCAGTCTTAGAGTAACATAATTATTGATATTTTGTCACAAAGTATACCATAAAAAGAACCTTATTTTACTTCTGTCTAATGCTATAATGAATGGAGTATAGTTATTTTGTGTGGCGTATAGGCAATAGATAGTTATGAATTTTTGTTCCATTTTATAAATTTGGTTTTCCAAACTTTCTTCAACTTATTTTTGTTTTGAAGTGCGAGGTTTAGCAGTGAAACCTCCGCCTCTGTCAACAATTTGTTTACTAAGTCATTTTCATTTACATTTTTTACTTTTGACAATAATATAAAAGTTCTAGATTTTGATAATTTTAAGATAGCTTTTATTCAAAGATTTGTTGACTATAATATGGAATGATAGAATATATTATTGCACTCAACAGAAAACAAGTAACAAAGAATTACACTTAGGACAATAAAATAGTACACAAAATGTGGCCTTATTGTTAAGCAAAGATATGAAGAAAAAATAAAAAGGATGAAGATTAAATGGAGTATTAGGTGCAACTGAAAGAAGCACAGAAGATCTTAATAAATTAAATTAAAACAACATATGAGGAGATAAACTTAATTCTATACAGATAAGGAAAGGTTTTTAACTTTATTTCCAAAAGAACTTATACTCCATTCATTATAGCATTAGAAAGAAGTTAAATAAGGTTCTTTTTATGGTATACTTGTGACAAAATATCAATAATCATGTTACTCTTAAGACTGACGGCTAATTTGCTACATATTCACTTAAATACCAGCTGCTTTTCTTAACTGTTATCTTTTAAGCTATCTATTAAACAAATTTATGAGTATTCGATTAACTTAAATGATTTAATAACTATTACAATAAAAAGTGTTCATCTTAAAGAACCTAAAGAAGCAGAGTTAGATAGTATCGGCACGATTCTCATGACACTATAATTCTACCAAATTTAAAACATTGCCTAATCCCTTCAAACATGTTTTTTTAATTTTGTTAGACTATGAGGTATTCATAATTGTCAAAATAAGTAATCTGGGATTGTCATCCATTGTGAATGCTACTGCCTTTCTTGTTGTTTTGCCCTTTTCCATGATTAAGTTGTTATTGTTTTATTTTTGTTGTTTAATTTTATTAAATATGGACGAAAATATGCTGGTGCAGGCCCGAGTGGCCTACAACAATTACACTCTAAGCCTCCATACCTACCCTCAACCTTTGACATTTCAAGAAGTTTTACCAATGTCTTCATCAATAGTCTAATGTCTGAATAAATGTTATAAAAGTAATAATAAAAATTTCATGTTGTTTACCTTTCTTTACTGGGCATAGATATAACTAAATTCTATTCTAATTATAATCAAATCAACAGATAGATAATTTAGTTCCATGTTGGCTTGGGAGCAAAATATCAATTTAGAAAATGCTGGTCTCATCGCAACCCTGATGTATTGTCAAAATTTGAAAATTGCTCAGCTCTTTCAGACTACCTAACGTTCAAAGTTTCAACAAAACTATAATATATATTTTTTAAATTTATCTTGAAAATAAAATGTTCTGCACTGCTGCTTCTATGACCCTCTTTTTTCTAATGTTATAATGAATGGAGTTGGCCAGGTTTTGTGAATCATCCCCCAGAAGTGATTTCTATAACTGTGCAGCATGCACAGAAAAAGGATATGAGAAAAGTCGGTAGAATGACGAGGAATGTCCAAAATGAGATTAGATGAGTATCGCAAGATATACTGTGATGAAGAAAAGCTGAAAGTGAAATATTATGGTGTAATTCTGCCCGACTATACTTTCAAGTCTGTAGCATACGAATGCTGCAATGATTAAGCATATAAGTACAACTAATAGATACTGTAGGTGCTTACTTCCAATACTACTTTATGCATGTTGTTAAGATCATCAAGATACTGTAACGTATGTTCGTCATCTTTGTAGAGATGTAAAACGGCTGTTGATGCGTGACATGCCTGTGCAACTAAAGCTCCTACGGACCATCCGAGTTCTTTCATCAAATCACTTCGAAGTAAAACATATTGAACAATTGTGTTCGACATGGCAGTATCATAAAAATTAAATCTAATTAACATTTAACTTATAACTTATGCATTCCCATAATTTCACGTCAACTATAAGTCTGTTACTGAAACGTAGACATATATATTTAAAAGTAAAATAAAAAGTATATTTTACCATAAAAAAAAGTGGAAAAGCCACGCCACAGACTTAGTAGGTATCAGACGACATACTTCCTAACAATTTTTTTTTTTAATTTAATTGGCTCGCACGGTTTGTGCATTAGCCACAACGAGGCTTAAAAGGTAGGGAAATCATTTTGAGGAATGGAATGTAGGAGCGGAATTTGGAAAGGATAATAGGATCAGGGTTTAAATAAATATTAGAAATATATTATGATATATATATTTATACTTGAATATTATGTTCCGTTATGAAATTTGATATTAACTGATATACTTCATAATTAATACAGTTTAAAAGAATTTGCATGGATGTAGGAAGGGAAATGCGGGCGGATATTAAAGAAGTAATAAAAGAGGAGCAATCATGGAGGAGGCATTCGAAGAAAATGTGGTTTAAGTCCTCAACACCAGTACCACAAGCACATAGACTACCGTCAACTATTCCTAGTCTAGCAAGATGAGAGGCAGAACGAAAATGCCCTAAACGCATTCTAATGAGACTAGTAGTAGCATATTTACTTAAATGCATTCTAAAAAACCATGGTTTATGAAGTATTGACTCCTGAATAGATTTGTAAGTTCTATCTTTAGTATGGCTTGAAGTATCCCATATTGCTTCCCATGATTTATACAAATATGATTTAGGGAGGGATAAGATATCTCGTATTAAATTTTTATAAGGGAAAACATCACCACATTCCACGGCATCTTTAGCAAGTTTGTCCGCTATTTCGTTACCAGTAATATTATGATGGCCAGGTATCCACACAAAAACAATTTTTAAACCTTTTATTTTACAGTTAAGTAATAATTTCCTACATTCAATTAAATACGTGTTAGAGAGACGGGATTTAAAATGAAATTTTTCTAATGCTTGTAAAGCACTTTTAGAATCGGAAAAAATTATGGCGTTCTTGAGGTTTGCAAGTAAAACATATTCTAATGATTTTAAAATTCCATAGCACTCTCCTGTATAAACAGAAGTTAAAATCGCGGAAGGAGCATTAGAATCTGAATTTAATCGATTACCTAAATAAATATAAGGGAAAAGTTGTGCACCTAGAATTAAATTTATCTCACCGGATATATTACAACTAAGGTCCGCAAGTGGCAATTCGTTCAAAAAAATTTAATCCTACCTATCAATAATATGAGTTGGCAACTGTTCAGTGATGCAATCCACTACAAGAGCGTAAATATCATATTTTTTAACTTGCATCAAAACGAAACTCGATTTTCAAATTTCACAAAACCATGTAAAGATAGAGAACCCGAACCTATACCTTTTACATGTGAATTTTTTAATTTTTAACGATTTGGCAAAAACTTGAGCGTTAGACAAAAGAACTGTAGAATGATTTTGGACACTAAAAGAAAGTGATGAATTCATGTTAGGCAGTGCTATATTAGAATCATGTTCATTATTATGTGAAGACTTTGAGTTTAAAGATGTTACAGTAGGCAGTTTCTCTGTAACCTTCTTAGTGGGCGGATGTGATGAAGTATTTGAAGAAAGAAGATTGTTCTCTAGTTATGTCGAGCTTCCAATCTCTATATGCGTATTAGTGATATTTGGTGACTTATTGTCAAAGTGCAATAAAGTATGATGTCGTTTGTTACATATTTTACAACAAGAATTAGATCTACAATTAGACAACGTATGCGACAAGCTCAAGCAATTTACACAACCGTGCTTAGATTTGATAATTTTAAATCGATTTTTAGTAGAGAGAGTATTCTTAAATTTCGGGCAGTAATAAAATTGTGTGTAGTCCAAACTATCACATAAATTACATTTTATTACAGGAGCCGATGCTTCGTTACGAGAAACAAATGATTTTGTATTACGTGGCAACGATGGTACTGAATAATTATTTTCACTTACAAAGAGATTACATCTTTATATAATGGATTTTTTTTACGAAGAACTAAAAACTCAAAAGCTTGTAAAGTCTGACTGTCCATTTATCTTAAGGCACAGTGTAGTAACAAAAAAATTGTAATATCCGGAATATTTAATTATTTTAAAGTAAAGTTTCTATGAAAGAATTTAAGCTAAGTTCTGAATAGTTCCTAAAGTACGCGTATCTTGGTACTTTTTCACCAAACTATCCCAAATAATACTATACATCTCCCCTGTAGGTACAATACCCGCAGTGAGCTTAAGAGCGGAATGCATAAGTTTACCAATAAAATACTGTACACGTTGTGAATCGGTAAGTTGTTCGTTATTATGAACATTCGACTTAAAAGTCTCATAGAATATCGACCAATTTTCAATTTGTAATTTAATTGAAGTTTTATTATATTTTACACAGTCAGATCGCAAAGATAAAGATTCAGAACACATTTTGTTGCGAGCACTTTTAATCCGTATGTATAAATCCTGACACGAATCAAGCGCCGAGAAATCCGGCTTCGCCTCAGTATTCATAAATAAAGTAAGCTCATTAATATCATCGATAATTCTCTCATTTATTTAGAATAAACCGTCTAATGATTCCGTCTCAGTAACGAAATCTTCATTCATTATTATTAATTAATTTGTTTATTTTTCAACATTAAATAATTAAATGAAACAAGTATAATAGCAATGAAATAAAGTAATTATGTATTATATAATAATAAGATACGCTGGTTTTTGAAAGTCGAGATATATTGCCAATGGCTTACGCAATGATCTATAAACTTCCAAATATGTATGAAAATACTGAACAATATCCGGCTCGAAGGACCAATAAATAATCGTGAGATCACGCGGGATCTTACTCGTATGCGTTTATTAATAAATGTTAAAAAAAAGCGAAAGAAAAGATTTATAGAAAGAAGATTATCCTTAGAGCACACCCGATGGAACTCTGATATAAAATCGCGAGTACTTACCGAACTGATGTACGCCACATGGACACGAACAGTCACTTCCGCACTGTCCACAATTATTCTGATATTCAGTCTTTGGTTATATTATGCGAAATTGTATATACACACATTAACATCGTCTAGGGATATTTTAAATATTCTTAATTTTTTCAGTTTTTTTTTTAAGTAAAGACGAAAAGTAGAATAATGGTAAAAATAACCATAAATGTGTTTTTCAAGAAAAAGTAAAAAATATAGTGAAGTTATTCCGTTATTTGCATTTTGCGAAAATCAATAGTCAGTAAAACCACCCATGACGTTAACAACGGTCCTGTAACGATTTTTCATGCTTCGAATCAACTTATCAAAGTCTTGCTGCGGGATAATGTCCAAAGTCCTGGAAAGATGCAATAGAACTTGCTCTTTAGTGACAATGTTTGTAGGTAAATTCCTCAAAGCCCTTCTTTGGAGCATGGCCGACGCGTGTTCTATGGGGTTTAGGTCTGGTGATTGCGCGGGCCAGTCTAAGACCACCAGGAGTTCACCATACTGGTGAATCAGGACTCATCGGTAAACAGCACTTCAGACCACTGGCTACCTTCCCAGAGCAAATGTTCAGGAGCCCACTGTAATCTTCTTCCACGATTTGCTCGGCGTAGTGCAGGAGTAATAAGCGATTTGCGAACATGAAGATTAGTTTCATGCAGTCTTCTCCTCACAGTTAGGTCACTCACAAGGAACTGGTGCTCTGACTGGAGCCTTTGAACCAACTGTATGGCCGTAACATTTGATTGCCTTCTCGGAACAATTTGCAAAAATCAGTCTTGTCATTGGGTGGTTATGCGCTTCCCGCCTAGGTGTCTTTCAGCCACTTCACCAGTAGCACGATAACGTAACCATGTCAGTGATATCATGTTTTATTTTGTTTCGATGTCCTCAGCAATACTAGTAGCCTCAGTTTGGAGCATGCCTACTGCCCTTAATATTTCCTCTCTTGTTAAATGGCGTCGCTGCATAATGCATTCAGTATCACAAATTTAAATTAAACAGCTAACTAGTTTTAAAACTTTCGATTAACACAAAAAATCTTGATTTATGCCACGCAAATCTTTTGTTTGAAATTATTTTTTTAATGAGGAAGTATTTAAAAAAAAATGCGAACGCACTAAAAACGCTTTCCACTAGATGGCGACTCTAGCAAAAGCTGATTTTTGCACGAAACGAATGGACTAAAGACAGTCACTTCCGTTGCTTTTGCTTTAGGACACTGTTGTGGCGTTTGCCCTGGGGTCAGCCATTGAATTTTTCTTTGACTGTTACCATAAAGAATCCACTTTTCATCACATTTCACATCTCGATTTAATATTCCTTAATTTCTGTACAGATTTAACAAGGCAACACAAGTTTCAACACGCGTTTCTTTCTGCAGATCAGTCAAATCATGAGGCACCCATTTTTCATCGTTATTCACCTGTGTGGTCTTCCTTGTGGCTTGTTCTTTAAGTCGAAGTTTCCATCACGAAAGCGTTAAAAAAAAAGTACGGTTCGTTCATTAGCAGATTGATATTGCAGGCTGTTTCTGCCGCGGTACTTCCGCGTCGGAACTCGTATTCAAAAATCACTCGAATTTTCGCATTTTCCATATTTCTTGTCTAAGTTGAATAACAAAAATAATTGAAAGCCGATATTCAAATGTTTCACATTTTTTTAAAAAAAGAACATCATAGAGACCATGTAAAAAAACGAATATTATTACGATAAAATGGCAATTTCATACTTTAACCGCTAATACTTCATTTTGGATAAAAAATAACCCAGTTTATTTCATATCGATATATCGTGCAACCCTAATTCTGACATTGACGCACCTGCTTGTCATCTTAATGTTGACAGATTTGAAACGCCGCATCGTCCGTATGTAGTGTTTCATTGTAGGTATCGTTATTTGTGTTTATTTTGTTTAACTGAAACAGTTGTAACTTAACATTTTAAAACGTATACCTTTCTCACAACACAGCGGTGTTAACGGAAGATGGCTTCTGGGCTAGAAAACTATGTTAATCAAACAGTGTCGGTGATAACTGCTGATGGGCGCAATTTCATCGGAACGTTGAAGGGATTTGACCAAACAATTAATATAATTCTAGATGAGTCACATGAAAGAGTGTTTTCATCATCTACAGGCATTGCTCAGGTGGTACTTGGACTTCACATAATTCGAGGAGACAATATTGCTGTGGTTGGGCAGATAGACGAATCTATCGACAGCAGACTCGATTTAGGCAACATCAAAGCTGAACCTTTAGGACCAATAGTGCATTAATCTATTTTAGGTTTCATTATTAAAGTTAAATTATAATTAACTTGCATTTTCCTTTCATTTACTTTCTATGTTATTTTAGTAGTGTTCCATAAAAAAAAGGGTTATGTGTCTATAGAAAGGAGTATTGTATCTATGTCAAATATAATGTACATAAATTCCATTAAAATACTCAATCAATCTAAAATAGTAAATTTAATTAATATTTACAACCCCATTAATAAGTGCCTATTTACAAATAATAATTTAAATTAAAAAGCCTCCTGACCATAACAATCGACATATGAATGTTGACTAATGAAATAGTTTATTTACAAAATCACTATAAACAATTATAAACAAAAAAGAATAATAAGAAAATACACAGATCTTGGTGATATAATTTGCTTTATAAAATAAAATAATTAAGTGTAAGGTGGGGCAATAAAATAACGAATACCTAAGTTAGCATATCCAGGTACATAATGTCACTAATTTTTTTCGTGTCATAACATATAGTATCCCACAAATATCTATTGTCCATTTGTTTTATCAATCCCATTAATAAATCTGTAACATTACATATTGTAGATGGAAGTTATAATACCCAATAATAGGCAATATAAGCTACGCTTGAAGGTTTGAGGTAACATGTTGATGTTACCTCAACCAATACACCATTAACACCATTACTATTTTTTTCTAAGAAATTATCCTTTTGCCTCAGTTTTAAAATCTTTATTTAAAGTTCAAGCCATACTAGCCCCTAAATACTCCAGTACTAGACCCATTTGTAAACATAGTTTTTTATAATAAAAAGTTGAAACAAATAACTGGTAATCTATATGTTCTTGATTACAAAATGTAGTGATGGCAATCCTGCTAAACACCAATTTATTGATATTTCATATGAAACTTGTTTAAGAATTTAATAGAATACTTATAGCATTACAACACGACTTGATTATTTCTAAAATTTTACTATGTAATTATTGCTATTCAGCTGACTTTACATTTCAGTCATATAATTTATATAAATAACAATAAAATAGGAATGAATTATTTTTCAAAACTGGCTTCTCTTGATTCCATTACAGATTTGGAGAACCAGATCAGGAAAAGTCATTACTTTTTGATTTCCCAATCACTACAAACTCCTGATGCCTGAAAATAATGGAAAGGAAAATATTATCCTTTTTGGCTTGGTTATCTGAGGAATCTTTCGTCATCTTTGTGCATACTCTCAAATTAGCTATAACTAATCTACAAACTGTAAATGTTGTTTTACATATACTATAAAAATATATTAAACTTTACTATAATATAACTGCTGCAAAATATTACTTTTTAATTTACATCTTGGATTGCTAAAGATTTCAAAGAAAATATATTCTAAACAGGCATAGATTTAATGTAGTAATATAAAGTTTATTGGTAAATAACTGTTTTATTTAAATACCTTGACAGACAGATGCATACACATGTTACTTTTCACTTTTTATTATTTCTATTTCTATGCCTTGGCTGAAATAGAACAGTTATAGAGCAAAAATTTCAAAAAAAAAATGTACATAATATGATACAGAATAATAATAGATAATAAGATGATCCAAAAAAAGAGATTGTTATGTAGCCAAAATTTACTAAATGTGCATCAAAGCATGCATTTTAATGTGCACTTAGTAAATAATTTTCAATTAAAAATATTATGATCAAACACAAAATGCTGTAAGAGTCGCAAAAATGCATTGTATCATGTATTGAATGTCATACTTATAGTAAAATTAAGTACTGAGTAAATTAAACAAAAAGCTCTCCTCTTTTCTATAAAACGGAAAATTGATTTAATAATATTATTTAACAATAAGAAACAAGCATGCATCAAGCTTTACAAAGAAATGAATTACATCAAATTGATTGATACCTTTGCATTTTCTCCTTGTATTTTTGAATATTGTACTGTCGGAAGAATTGTTTTCCATATTCAAATGTGGCAATCATGATGGCGCATGCTGGTGCTACTTTAAATATTCGAGGTAATAGTCCCGTAAACAGCCCTTTGAATCCATGATTTCTGTAAATATTTCTTGCAATATCTTGCATGTTTGATGCTCTTTGCTGTGTTTTTCCATCTATAAATACAATAAACTTAAAACTAATTAGTTGTCAATGTGTTGTCTGTACATCACATATTTGGTTTTTCCTATCAATTAAGCAGTACTTTACAACCAATATATTGTAATGAAATAAAGCCACATTAAAAATGAAATATGATCCATTTTCTTGTGCGCAATTTATATATATATACTTCTAAATTACCTGTGTATATTTCTTTTTCACCTAATTCAATTTGCTGATGTGTTTTTATGACATCAAAAGGAAGTGTAAGAAAAGCAGCAATCTGTAAATAAAATTTGTAGTTTTTTACTCTTTTAACACAATAATGCAAAGCATTTTCATTTTGATGACCAGTAACTTACACTGCCAGCTACAGATCCACAAAAGAAATTAAATAAAAATGTGTTCTTTTCAGAGTCAGGCCTGTTAAACAATCTTTTTGTGGATTCAAATGTCGTCCAGTATATACCTTGAAAGAAATTATTAAACTTATAAATTCTCAAATTAAATAAATTATAAAATTAAGTTTGAAGATAGTATACCTGAGAATGGAACATCTCTCAAAAGTGTAGAACCTAACCCACGAAAGAGTCCTCTGTAACCTTCATATCTTATTACATGTCGTAATGCTGTGGAAATTTCTAAAAAAAAATTGTTAAATATTCTTAATAAAAACACTTAAAAATCCACTTGGTCCCTGATACCCTGAGATGGGATTCGAACCCATGACCTATTGTAAACCAGGCCACTGCTCTAACTACTGAGCTACCTAGGACCTTACATGACTGATGAATCTTTCAAGCACTTGTTACTTTTTTGCTAGTACATATTCTCATCAATGTTCAGGCAATCCACCCAAACAGCCAAAAGAAATATTTAAATTTTTGATAATGAATCTGTTCTAATTTATCATTATTGATCAATTATGAATTCACAATGCTTTTTTATCTATTCCATTAAGTATATTCATAAACTTGCCAGCATATATTCATAAGCCTGAGCCCCCATCTTACAAGACTGCATTCCCAATTCACATATAATGATAATGAAAATACTTTTTACAATGAAAAAAGTAACCAATATTTTGAATACCTCCATATGTCAAATGTTTAGACTGCATCTTAGTTCTTATTAATTCTAATGGACTGACTATAGTCACTGCTGTCATCCTAGCAGTAGCTCCTGCTATTAATGGTATCCACATTGGCTGGCTCACTGAAATTCAAGACTTAATAAATAGTTAATTCTATTATATTTACATATATTTTATGTAATGAAGTAATTCATATGTAATATAAAAGGTTTTTGTTATTAAATTAAAATATAAAAGCAATTTTCTACTTACTATTCCCAGATATTTGATTATAAAAATTTTTCATCTTAAATCTGAGTTGTTCATATGATACAAAATAAATGACTGTACATGGAAGAGCTAAAACTAATGTAGGACTTAGTCCTGACCATAGAGCTGGTACACCTTCAAGTTTGGCTATTTTGTAAAAAGCATCCTGAAAACAAAACAATGTTTGTCTTGTCAACAATTATATATGAATGGTATATATTATAAAGTTAAATTTAAATTAAAGCAATTTCTTTGTCCCAATTGTCCATGTATACCTATTTTAATATTATAAAGAGGTAAGATTTAATTACCTACATTGAAACTACTGACAGATAAAAAAGAACTTTCACCTACAGGAAGCTACATTGTATGTGGGTTACATTGGCTATAATTTATGTAAGTGAAGTAGTAGAAGAAAAGCTTATGATGTATAAAACTGATTAAAAAGAAGATTAAAAGATTAAAAAGAAAAGGGATATATTACTGTAATGGTATTTAGAAATCTTAAAATGTAGGGTGAGGAGGGGGGTAAATAAGGGAGTGAAATTTATATTAATGTCTGTCTCCTCTAAATTAGAATCTACTTTTAATAAGTACTTCAGTTGGTTGCTTAGTTAGACGTTTCTCTGAGGGGTTAAAATATCTTACTAATTCTTTATATAAACTATAAAAATATAATTCAAGTATATCACATTTGAAACTTGTGTTACTTTATCTTGAAACACTGCAATAGTTTATGCCCAGGTATTTACCAATTTAGATACTTGGGTTTTATTACTATAATGTTGTGTCAAATGATCAAATGAGTGATTAAGGTATGAGATGGAGGGTATAAGATTTAAATACCATGGTTCCATGAAAATGTACTCTTCGTGGTATCCATGCAGTCTCACCACAAGGACAAAGGTGTTCCATAAGTCCATTGCAATACAAGTAGCATTTATTTGAAAGTAGTGCCTTCTGTTGTGCTTGCAACCTTATTTTAACCACATCCAAAGGCGTCACTGTTGATGAAAAAAGGCACATGAAAGCAATGGACAAATATATACTTAAAACCACAATAAAATATTAAATACTCACTAAATAAAGAGGTTATAAGAGCACCGGAACATGCTGATGCCATTTGTTGAAATGGCGTAATGTGGAAGCGAGGATCATCTTCTCGAATCATCAGGGTTTTAATTAAAATTCTATTTAAAATAGAATGGTACCTTATAGAGTCAATATATTTTCGTCTTGCAAAATCAAATAATAATTCGTAAAAACGTCAATGTCATCCAAATTAGGGATTCATAAACAGTATCGATACCAAGGACGTTTTGGGCCGGCACTGTTTCTTACCTAATTTTTAGTATAAATAAATTAGCAAAATTGTATGAAAAGTAATGATTCTTTAAGGGTACTTAAAAAAATATAGAGAATCACGTTCATTTTTGACCTAAAAATTTACTAACACGTCTAGTGATGAGATATATCTCAAAATGTAGGTTATTTTTTATTTATTTCATATTAGGGAATTAATTTTTAAAATAAAGCGAGGAAAAAGTTAAAAGGCTGATTATTATTTTTATATAATATTAAAACTACCCGAATGCGATACGGATCCTAAAATCTAGTATTTCCTTACTAGTCTGTGCTAAAATCATTAAGTAGGTAAATTATACTATAAATGACGGCACAGACTAAGGATTATAATGACGGTTTGCTATATATACTACCCCAGTGCGATTCCGAACCAATGACGGTTTACTACGTTTCGTTTCATCTACTACGGAAAAAATATTATTTCGTCTTGATACAAGAAAAGACAAAACCAATTTAGATACTTGGTTTTATTATGCTTTAAAACAGAGCTAATTATTTAACATAAGAGAGTATGACAATATCAATTTATAACATATGTCATCATTGAAATATAAAGTATAAAACTTTTAGCAAAGAGTATAATTATAAACTCAAGGAGTTCACATCACGTCTTAAGGTAAAAAAGTACAAATTAACAATTACATTTAGATTTATTTATCTATTTACGAGTCAAACTACGGGTTGAGTCAGTGCCGGTTTTAGCACTACTAACGCCCTGGGCGAAATTTCTTCGGCGCCCCCTAACTGCAATTCAATTACTACTACTTACTACAAATCAGTTATTTGTCTTTTTTTCGCCGACCCGGCCTACTTACTTGTAATTTTCCCTAAATTTAGGTAGATTGTTAAGTTGGCAGCATTAGAATGGAACGTAGTGTTCAATCGGTTTAATTTCTCGGGAATCCCCGACTTACCGACCATACAGAAACAATGTGTTTTTCTATAATCGGGGATTCCCGAGATCTATCTCTTTTAATTTTTGACGAAGCAGAACACAATCAACACTCATGAGTGGACGCTCTTAAAACAATTATTCGATTATTTTAAAACAAACAAACACAGTAATCAACCGTTTAATGCTACGTTGCGATGCTCTTGTTCCAACTATAGTGACATTAGTTTTATTTAAAAAATAGACATATAAATAGTGTATAAGTAGCTGTTTCATTTTTGACGGATCACATCATTAGGTAAGTACAGATTATTTTTTGCGATCTGTACTACACATTCCCTAATACTTAAGTATATAAGATGTTAAAATAACAGGTTAATTATTAAAATTGGGTCCAGACTCTTTACCCTTGTAACACTAACAGAGTGTCACATAATTGTTATGTATAACTTTATGTAATTGTTGTAACTTTGTGAAAGTGAGTTTGCAGTGGGCCACTACTTATTATATGATCAATTATTTTGCTATTTCGAATAAGTGGCCAAGTAGCTGGATCCGCTATATTCGGGACAACAGTATCAATATCATCTAGTACATGCATTTGTTGTACATCAATAACAGATTTATCCTGATCAGCATCTGTAATCGTAGTACTACTTGCTCCCTCACTTTGGGATTTTTCATCCACAATCTCTTGAGTAGCTATTCCATCTGACTTGCCAGACAGAGGCTCCACTGCCGATGCATTCGTTTGTATTGCAGCATTTTAGCTTCAGCTTAACGTTTAAACATGCTCAAACGAAAATTTTCTTAAATGATCGAGCGATAATGCCCGCCAATGTACGTCATCTTACCTAATAAAATACATATCTTCATATTGGTAATCTGTATGTTGTTCTGTTTTACCATAATATAATATTTTTCTTGTTAAGTTTCCTTTAAATTCATGCTGAAATAAGGCAATTTGAAAACAAAAAACATCCTCACGTTTCTTGTCTTTTTCGCTGACCCAGTAGGCCTTGTTCAATGAGCGAGGGAACTATATTATAATCTTTGTCTTTGGGAAATGAGGAAGTATTAGAAAAAAAACATTAGTTCCCGAAATCAAACTAGATGTCGCTACGGTACGTTCTTGATTTCTCCATGACAACCCTTCCAGTTTTCTTTCATGTTTAAAAGTAAATTAGTTTTCAAAATTTAATAAACAACTCATGGGCGGTCGCCCAACCGCGCCCTACCCTAACTCCGCTCCTGGGTTGAGTCTTATTATCGTTTGAGACAGTATATGGTTTTCTTCGTGTTTTATCTGTATCTAATGTTATGCATTTTTAAGTCAGTCTTACTGAAAATATTATATATTTATTTATGTAGCAACATAAGGTATGTACAACGTTTTCTGTGAGAGGTAAAGAAAATGCGTCTAACAACGTGAATCTACTAAGTTTGGGAGTAGCCATCACCATCTTCTTTCGATGGTGTTCGCTTGAAGTGATAGGAGTTTGTGCTCACCTTAGTGATTGACTGAATTTGATTACACCTTCTGACAATAATTTCTAGACCTTGCTTTCTATGTATTTCGAATCTGTAACGGAATATCTTCTTGATTTAATTGCAATAGGTCTCTAAAAAGGCAACAGATTACTAAATAGACTTACAGGTTCAACGTTGGCTTACATCACTGTACAAATTTTCAGCGATGGGTTATTTCCACCAAATTCATTACAAGAGCTTCATGCTTATTTAATACAGTGTGTCTTAGTATAACGTCACAGCAAAGTCCTTCCATGACCAAGGAGTTCATACATGATGCATATTAAAGTTAGAGGACATAAACGCGTTACCCATGTGGTCAAGTTTAATTGAGGCATCGGAATCTTTTGCTCATGCGGTAGCTTGAGAACTTTATAATGATTTGCTAGCCTTTTATCAATAAAACTAGTAGTGCTTCTAGTATCAATAACAGTTCGATCTAATATGTTAGTATTGATCATCACTTGAATAGTATCCATACTTATATCACTTTCGGCGGACATCATGCAGCTTAAGTTTTCGTCGCTTTGTTGTCTAGATTTGTTTCTACAAACTTTGGTAAAGTGGCCTCTCTTGCCACAAGATAAACAGGTAATTTTCGCAGCTGGACAGTTTCGTAGTAATTGTCGTTTGTAGCCGCAGAATTAAAACGTTTCTTGAGGTGAAGATGATACATTATGATTACGAGTCATTCTCATGACGTCCATACCAGATGATACTTTGATTATACACGGTTCAGTACTCGTAGAATTGACAACAGGAATATTTTTCTTTGATAAATCACACTGTGCACTTGTGCAAGTTCTAAGGATCGCGCTTGGTCGTAGGCAGTATCTAAGGTAAGATTCTTATTTTCGCTTATAAATCCATCTCTTACGTAGTCTCATTTATCCCGGCAGTAACTTTTTGAAATTACACTCTTTAGATAGTATTTTCTGAGCTTGCAGATATTGGTGAATCTTCTCATGAGACGATGTCTGGAATAGATCTCATTGACGGGTCTGAAAAAAGTCCTTCTAGTTTCTGAATAGCGGTTTTCATATCCATTAATATATGTGTACGAATTCGGAGATACATAGTTTATAAGTAGTTGGTGCTTTAGATTAGTTAATAAATTTTACATCTGTCGAGATAATAAAAGAAAATTTACTAAAAAGGATAATACCATCATAGGTGCAATATATATACTTCTCTCATGATTATTTATGTCCATTAAAATGTTTTCATAATAACTAATATCAAGTTTTCTGCAGATATTGAGATCAGAAATATATGGATGAAAAATGTTAAAAAAGGTCACGATTGGAGGCATATATAGTATGCCTCTAGGTTAACTGCATGGTTATTAAACATTTAGTTTGTTGCACCTAGATGTAGATAAATAAAGAGGTAATAATAAATAATACTGCTGAAAGTTGATGGGGCAAAATATGTATGTAAGGACCGTACATTACAGCGTTCGGTCTACCTACCCCGCAGGGGTTATGGCGTGAAGGTATACATTGATAAACTGCGCGGAAAAGTTTTTGGGTGTCAAAATAAAGATTTACATATATATTATATCTGACTTTCTGTAATAAGCCCATCGATGAAGCTCCCTTGTACAGCATGACAAGGAACGGATTTGGACGGACTCATTCATAAACTACCGAATACGAATCTATATAAAAGATATAAATCCGTTCCACGTAATTTTTCATTTTGGTGCATTTTCCTACACTTGGACCGCACTTGGTTGCTTTTTTTGAAAAAAATTGTATAAGTCCCGTAAATTGTTAATGCGCTGGAACCTTGTTTAAATAACGCGTGACGTCATATGAAAATAGAAACCCTAGATAGAATAAAAGACAGGAGACAAATTTTAATTAAATATTTATGAATAATCCCCAAAATTTTGTTAAAATAATTTAATAACTTTGAGTTTTTTTGACGCCCCTCCTCATGTGACCCTATCTCGAAGAGGCTAGACAACAAAGGGGCAGGGGACAAAGGGCAGGTCGCTCACCGGGTTGGGAGCACGTCTTGGAGTCTTAACAAAATTTGATCCCAATAAAGCCGAATGTTTTCATCAACAGCACCAGCAGCATAGTAGCTGTATAGCCAATGGTGAGACGAACTAGCCATATAATATCGAGTAGTGTAACTTCGCGTATCACTCATATTTGAGTTGCAGTAAAATCATGAGTACCTCCTTTTTCATATGTACAAAATGACTACCGAGAGGGGTACTAGTGATAGTGATGAAAAAATACTTTAATGATAAAATATCTAAATAGAAAGCGCGGGGTAGTCAAAGGAAGGCTTACTTGTTTAAAAAAAAAATGTTTTATCGTTGGAAGGAACCGTACTAAGTACCGAACAACGGGCTAAACTGAAGTTGCGAATTCAGGGTGTGAACACGATATTCAGAGAGTTCCATAATATTCAAAATGACATTGATGAGTTGGTTTCTGATATCAAGTTGCAGGAACATATAGAAGCACGCGAATGTTTTGAAGTAGAATATTAAGGGATTTTAGCGAAGGACAGTGTATGATGAATGATGAGTTGATTGTACCCTGTGCTGAAAGCTCGCCACAATCAATAAAATTAACAACGATTGCATTAGCCGAATTCGATAGTTCGTATGACCGTTTTGGCTAAATACTAGATACGTTCATATCCTTGGTCAGTCATTGAATCTATAGAATTTTCAGCTGATAATCGTATAGTTGCATGGGATTTATTATTGAATCGTTCTAATAATAGTAAATTACTAATCCATAATCACATAAAGTCTTTATTTTCTATTCCAACAATTTCAAATTAGTCGTCAACTCAAATAAGAAAAGTAACAAACGTTACTCTTAATAATTTACGCGCACTAAAGCAACCCGGTGAACCTACAGATCACTGGGACACAATAATAATTTATATGATTGTGTCCAAGTTTGATCAAGCTACTAAACGCAAATGGGAACAGAATAAAAACTTTTTTTTAAAGAGTAAATAGAGCTCTCAAACTATTATACTTATTAGAGTTTCTCCGTGATAAGGCAGATATGTTAGAAACACTATTTGTATCGCATAAGTCTATTTATAATTAAGTCCTAGAAACTCAAGATTTAAACCTTGTTGTGTTTGCTTGCAGTCATCTGGAAAAATTACAGACTTGTGCTCAGGCAGACATCTGGTCTCTGGTTTGTCCTCTTCCAAACATTCAACTTCTTTGAGCAAGCGGTATTCCTCGAATATAACATCTCATGACCTTGTAAATTTAAAATTGTTACTGTCCCAAATGCTCTCTGTGAGCGACGTAGAGAATGAAGGCAGAATAACGCTGCGTAATTGCAGCAATCTCAGACCGCCAAATCGATATCGTGATTATGGCGGCAATGTTTGTCACGTACAATCATCATCTGTTGATCCCCTGTCAGAGCCTATAAGTCTCAAAGAAGCAATTGAAAGTGCCGAGTCAAATGAGAGGCGAGTAGCTATGGAAAGTAAGATTAACTCTCTTAGAGAAAACTAGACATAGGATTTGGTAGATTTGCCCAAAGGGAGGAAAGCGATTCCTTGGTGTATAGAATCAAAACACTAAAGAGATCGAAAAACTACCACGAAGTCATCATTTCTTAACACATCAGTCGAATGTAGGTAGAAAGTTGGAGAAAAAGATAATTCGTTGATTTGCAGTGTGGATGTCCTATGCACATGCGGCTAGTCGCCGTCTTCTCTACTAATAAAGCAACACGCTTTATTAAAATAAAATAATATAATAATATTACAGTACAGGGAAGATGACGCGACTACTAGTCGTCCAACAGAAAACTACTCTATACAAGTATACAACGGGCGCGGGATCGTCGATAATGAGAAAGTATAAAAAAAAAGAAAGTGCTAAAAAGCACCTCCACTAGATGGCGACTCTAGCAAAAGTTGATTTTTGCAGGAAACGAATGGACCAAAGAAGTCGTTCTTTTTAGCTCGATATTAAAAAACTTTCATACATGAAAGTAAACCAAGGGTTGTCATGGTGATATCAAGAAAGTACTTTAGCGACATCTAGTTTGATTTCGGGATTTTTTTAAATATCTTATTGCGAGGCTCGGTCCTGTTATATAGTACTACATCCATGGTACATAGAGATAAGGTTCTGTGGCCGTCACTGCTGTCATTGTATCGTCAGTTTCTTTATCTGTCACTGTCAGTCATACTTGATAGAGTTAGGGTGGAGGATGTTGATTTAGTTACGAAAGAAGTAAAATAAAATAATTGCCTTAATATTAGTAATCATCATACCCCGTGGAGTTTTGACTGCTCTGTGAAAAATATATTTTAAAATGTTTGCCTCCATACCTAGATCACTGTTGTAAGTACCTTTTAATTTATTTTTGGAGTTTACATAACGTGACAGCTGTTTTACGAGACCGATCTATAAACAAATTTTGGTTGGATTCGATAAATACGAATTCGGGCATGTATAATCATCAGTGACTTTTTTAATTTTGTTAATATTACTATAAATATTTTTAAAAAGTGTGACTAACGGTACTCACTTTGAGTCCGTAATATCATTTACTACCTAAAGTAAAACTGTGTTAGAGGTGTTTTCAAGGTCTTGCCTAATTGGGTTTTTCGCATCAAATCTTTTGTAGTTAAAACCCATATCTCTAGCAAGTTGCATGGCAAAGTGTCGCATCTTTAGTGACTTGGATTAGATGCTTTTCATATCGGTTTCTTAGTCTATTCTTTATTAATCAAAAATATATTTTTTATGGGCACTATGAAAGAATTGATGAATTTATAAAAATAAAAAGTAATACCAAGTTTCATTTAAAGGAATAATATAATGCAAAGTATTAGAAATTTGGTACCCCATGTACAGAAACATCACTGATTAATTCAGATGATAAAGTTTTAATTTGTGGTAACAGGGGTAAGCTTATTTCATATTAATAATCTCTAAGATAGATGTTTCTTTAAATTTTTCATTCATTCATCATATATTAGAGATTCATTCAATAATTTACTTAAAATGTGGTGGTTGACTTGGTTTTTACAATACCCATAAATTACATATTTTTTATATCTAAAAAGTATTTTAATCTTATTTTTTTTTATTTACCACTTTTTTTGATAATGTTTCTATAATCCACAATAATCAAATAAGTCACAATATGAAATATATATGGTCTATTTGCTTTAAACATTATTTGATCAAAAGGATTGCTAAGATTATTATTGTGCTATTTTAAAATAATGTTTTATTATTATTATGCAAACGAAGAAATCTGATTTGATTGATATTCACAAGTGCAAATGATATTGAATTTGATTACAGCTGGAAAGCTGATCACAGATAGAAATTATATAGAAGATATTTTTGTAATGTAAATTACTATAACAACAATAGAATGGTAAAACTATGCCATTTCCATCTTAAATAATAACAAGTCACTGTTCCGCAGTGTAATATTATAAAGAGAGACTGAATGACATTTCCAATGTCGGCATAAGTTTTAAATTATGTTAATGTTTGCTATTTATATTTGTCTCGGACTTGGCAACAACCAGAAGAATGCATATGTCGTGGTCGGATTGTAGAATTGACCAATTCATGATATGGCCGGCCTTTTCATTAAAATGGAAAAAATTTGCTGCCTGCATCATTATCTGGCTTGGTTAGATCAAAGGATAATTTGTGTTTAACAACATGGTCGACTAGGTATGCCTGCTTCATGATGTGGCTAAGCATTATTGATCACAGCATAAAATAGTATAAATAAAAGGCACAAAAACAATGAGACATGTTATTGTGATAGATTATGTTTTTTAAGGTTATCCAATAAATAAAAAAGAAGGGTGCAGGGAAAACAATTTCTTGATTAAGTTAGTGAGATAATTGTAGGAGTGTAGTATGAAGTTGTGGCAGTAAAGGTTATTCTATAGTTTTATGGATAAATCATAAGAGTATTATAAAGACAGGATTTTGATTCAGCTCCAGAAGATGATAAAAATATATTAGAGGATATAATAGTTTTTGACACATGAAATGATCTAAATTTCATAAATGATTCAATACTGTAGGTCACATGATAGGTTAGAAATTTAAGACAATCGCAAAGTATAGCTTAGTGATCGTATTAAATGTCGAGGTTATTTTTTTTAGATCACAAAACCATAAGGCTTACAAATAAACAAGTTATATCTGCAAATAATTAGATTTGGACACCCTACAATCATGATATGACCAAATGTGGATTGCTATATCATTAAATGTTAACTTTAAACAATTGATCAATTTTAGGTGGCCATTTCATGAAATGATCATTTCATTGGCATGACTATGACACATATATTAATAAGTTAATATTAATGTGTATTCTGCTATTTATTTTAAATGTATGTTTAAAGATTGATGAATTTGCTTTTTTTAACAAATTCAGTTATTCATTTGGGTAGTGTTTTTCTAATGTGTTTATGCCAGGAGTAAATTAACATGGTTCTGATTGTTTGCTATTCTCATCCTATGCATAAGAATACACTGTATTGATATACGCATTGTTAGTTCTTATTTTGTTAAAACTATTATAAAAAGCAAAGGAGACTAACTGACTTATTATTGCATGGCTTAAACTATGAATAGATTATTTATTATGACTGAGGTTTGCTATGATAAAATTTTGAAAAATTCAATCCCCAAAGGGTTAAATGGGGTTTGAAATTCATGTTCATCCAGGCGTGCCACGCCGCAAAAGCAGAAAGCTAGCTTACTACTACAAAACGCTGTGTTGTTAGGTTTTTGGATAAACAAAATACAACGAAAAACAAAATACCAAGTACCAAAGAGGTAGCTTTGAAAAAATTTACAGTGCTCCTAAGGTTTTTTTAAGTTTCATAAAGTTATTTTCATAATAACAGAATGATTTACTTAAAGGAGTTTTCATACCGATTCGTTTTCACGTTCCACCTATATATATTCTCCAACTTATTTAATTCGTATTGCATATAAAAGCATACTTAAATCAACCATCAAGAAACTACGACCGGTACCCACATAGGCGTAGCCAGAGGGGGCAAGCGTGGTTCGGGTCCACCCTAGAAAGCTGTGACCACCTTAGAAAAATACTCTCCCTCGTACATAAAATAACTTTATTATTGGGGTCATGTCCCAACACTAGGAATAATCCCTAGCTACGCCAGTGGGTACCCATTAACCGTTTTCTTCAGAAAAGCTGCCTGTTTTGATTTAAAGAAAAAATGGTCACGTTAGCCGCTAACTACAAGGGCGCGCGAATTAAAATAAAAAAAAAAAATATTAATGGCGATCTACGTTGCCAGATTCCAGGCACTGGTGGTAGTGGTTTCTAGAGTATGCATTGTTTAATCTCTTATAGTTTATTCTTAATGAAAAATGTTTAAAAAATTCCACTTTATCCCCGCCTTATAGTTTACTTATTTGTTTTGTTCAGTGTTTTTTATCTATTAAAAATCCGTTTATTTATCAATTTTATTGACAATTGATTCCAAAATTGCCTGATTTGGTAGTATTTTGTCATTTTCAGAATTTCTCCGTTTACGGTATTATCCAATGCACTCGAATACGTTTGCTCTGATCGGGCAGTTTCATCGCATTCAGTCTAACAAATCCTATAGAGGAGATTTCCGGATGTCTTCGCCTGATGGATTCTATTTAGAGCAAAGACAAAATCACAAGCTTCCGTCCGCGACTTTATCTACATAGATTGAATTGGCAAACACTTATATGTACAGTAAAATAAAGTATCGATATTCTGAAAACAAAATAGAGAGAAAATTATATAAAGCTATAATAAAATATGAAAGATGACAATGTTTAAGTATATATTCCACTAGACTGTTTTGAGCTCTTAGTGTAAGTTTTTTAGGGTGCCGTAGCCAGAGGGTAAAACGGAAACCCTATTACTAAGATTTCGCTGTGCTTGTCTGTCTGTCACCAGGCTGTATCTTATTACCTGTGAAAATTAGACAGTTTAAATTTTCACAGATGATGTATTTCTGTTGTCGTTTCAGCAACAAATACTAAGAACAAGAATAAAATAAATATTCAAGGGGACTCCCACAACAGGAAGACGCTTGAAATAATTACAGAATATGTATTTATATAGTAGTTTTAAAAATAAATAATTAAATTAAAATTAAACAAATATTTAGGGGGCATGTGAGCATACATTTAACGTAATTTGTTTTGCTTAGTTTTGCTCAAAAACGATAACGGCGTACGGTAACCCTTCGTGCGTCGATCGTCGATCGAGAGGCCCGTTAAGATTTTAGTATGGAATCCGGTACAGCGCATGAAGAAGTACAAATCATTATACATTTTTTTAACATAAAATCATGTAAAACTTACACTAACCACTCTGAACTAGTAGTACATAGTGATGGTATGAGTGCGCATGGGCGCGTTAACTAAACGATGTAGAATTATTGACATAACACCTTAGCGAGTACTTTTGCAGAACATAGATGTCTTTGGAAAATATACATACTTTTTAAATGTCGCACTTCGCTGAAGACCATACGATCTCGTAATGATTTTAACTTTGTTTTGTCTAATCAGTAATCGCTCAAAAAATAAATACGTTACTGTTTTGTTCAATATCTGCATGACACAGACGTTCCATATATTAGCATAATAAATTTTTCAAATCTTGCTTCGTACTTCGTTTTCCGTGATCCAATTTTCATAATGCTATTTGTTCCATAAATAATGCTATCCTAAATTTTGCATTGGTCAAATTATCAACATTATAGGATATAAAAGTAAACAATAGGCTAAAAACTAATTTGACTAGTTAATTATTTATAACTTTAAGGAGAATTCAAAACGTACATATTAAAGGAAAATAAAATACTGTATAGTAGGTACAAAATAATCAGACAATGTCGAGAATTGTCACTTATTAATATAAATCAAAATAGCTCTCCACCTCTGTCCATTCACTACATGTGTAATTTCGATATGGTTGTACGCTACGCTCCGTTTCGCGATCGCCTTAAATTTCTGACCTATCACGTGACCTTATTATTATAAATAATTATAAATTGATAATTAATATTGATAGATAATGACTAAGATGTATTTATTTGACATGTTGTCGGTAGAACAGCAGGTAGGTACTCTATGCAATCCCTAGAAATTGTGAAAATGTAGGTAATGGATCATAATATTTCGTACATTTATAGAATATCTGAATTATACAAATTACCGGTAACATTTACATACCAACTTATAAATACCTACTATACTATATTGCTTCTCGTGTTTTCACGATCTGTAAATAAATGTTTGTGCCAACACCTTTATTTACTCATGTCGGTTTATTTAATTGTAACCTAAATCACGTCATAGACCCGCCTCCAATAGTCAAGGATGTTTTTAATATAAAAAACGGAAATTAGGAAAAGCTAATAATTATTTTTCAATAATTCACGCGATAAAACCGTTTCAAAGTATAAACATAGTTTTATTTAACTCTGTAAAAAAAATTGAAGATGATCTAAAGTTTATAATTTGTAGAAAAATACATTCCTTAACTAAGATAGAACTTAATAAATTTTGAAATGCATTACGTCTCACCAAATATTACAATATCATATTATTCAGTCCAAACTTTACTTAGAATATCTGTTATCGACGAAGAGGGTGACGAGGAATGGTGTGGGCACAGGTGTGAAAATAAACAGCTTATCTTCTCAAAAACTATATTGTCCACAAAACAAATGTACTCGTCAAAGCACGTGACAATCAATAATAAACCATATGTCAATACAAAAACAAAATTAAATAAATATCAAATATAATAAAAAAACTATAAAAACAAAGACAACGTATAAAAAAGGTCGGTTCAGCTGACGATCCTCAACAATATCCATAAAATTATTTTATAATTGAAAAACATGACATTAATGAAAAATGCTTAAAAAATCCACTTTGTCCTTGCACTCTGAGATGGGACTCGAACCCATGACCTTTCCATGATTCTTATATATCCGAATATTCTTACGTCACTTTGTAATTAATTGTATATTACTGACATCACGGTTGTTAAAATTTGATACACCTAGAAAAATATGATAGATAAATATGATAATCACATTCACATTTTATGATAAAATTGTCCAGCAATATCAGTGATAGTCATCTCTTATCTTTAACGCTTCGATAGATATCTCCAGGTTTTTAATTAAGTTTTACCTAAGTAAACGTACCTTTGTTAACTCTAGGATTATGATTAGCAATCGTAGTATACTAATTTATTAGAGCAGTAATGTCGCATTGAAATTTCAATTTCAAATTATTCCATTATCAAATTTAATATCATTTAGTCAGTCTAAGCATTGGTGAATGTCGAAAGCTATGCCCTTTATTGTTACATGCCATCGGTTCGCAAATCTTTGGCAAGAAGAAACGGGTAAAACTTTCTAAATGAATGTTTAGATCTGTTGGTTCTAAATGTTTTTTTGAGAAATTATACGAAAACTTTCCTTTTCTCAGATTTTCGAAATTACTGCGCCTAAATAAATAAAAAAAAGCTTTATATCTATCGGATAAAGGAAATCTATATGTCCATGGTTTTTCAAATCTAATAATTGAACCCTATTCAGTCCAATTCGCCCTTGGCTAGATTTTAATTTACATGATAACAATGTATATATACATGAACACACGCTTTTCGTTATTCCACTGATATTGTGATACTGTAACTTTTGAATTATTTAAACGATTGTTGTTTCAGATGTTGCACTAACGCTATAGTCCCGAATCGTGCAGTTGCTTTAGCATTAGCAAAATGTCCTATGTTCGAGTCCTCGTCGATATTTTGCCGTGAATACCATGAAGTCACCGGTAGTATTATCTGTCCTAATGTTGTTCGAGGTATAGACCACATGAGAGATCCCCGATTAAATAAGGTAAGAACGAATTGCTTGTATGTTTTATTTATTAAACCGATCTGTATTATTTTAGAAGTCAACAATTGGTGAGACATTTTTGTTTGTATTGTTTCTCTAACGTTTATTATTATACTACGAATACTTCGTTTGGCTACATTTCAATTCCTTTCCACTGGTTTTTCGTAATGACGATATGCGTCAATGAAGTATGACTACAATACTTATTGGCCTTGCAATTTTACCGCTTTCATATTTCCTCATTTATCTAGTGTAGTGACACTAGATAAACGAGGAAATTAAAATGTCTTTCCCACTGGAAAGACCACCAGGATAAACATAGTACTTCCTTGTATCCACATTTGATCGCAATATATGTCTGGCAAAATAATAGCGATAATTACTGGGTAAAAAAAGAAATTATATTTAGTCCGTCTGTTAGATAATAGAAAAAATCAACTAACAAGAAATGGTTTAGATAATGGGTATTAAAGTTGCGGAGAGGGGGCTTGCTACGTCACAGTTTTGTAAAAAATGTACAAAAGCGTGACGTCATGTGACTTTTAACTCAATGTATCGCCGTAATTTAATGATTACTCAAAATATAAAATACATGTTTAATTTATTTCAACAATCTACCTGACAGACAAAAATGTGATCGTCCCTATTAAGTTGAGGAATCATAGAAAAATATGTTATAGAGTTAAACTACGATGTTCGAATCTTGTTTTATTGTTATTTAAGCGTTAGTTGAGCGTCATTTGTCTATGTCCATGTTTATTTTTTAGTTGTCTAGCCAACTGTTTATTTTTTTAGGGATTAGCTTTCACCCTAGAAGAACGTCAAGCCCTTGGCATTCATGGTCTTCTGGCTGCCACTTTTAAAACTCAAGAAGAGCAACTGTATATCTGCCGGATATCAGTGGATCGTTATGAGGAAAATCTCAATAAATATCTCTATCTCGTCGAGTTACAGGTGACTAGATATCAAGAAGGTACCATGTGGGTGCAATGTTAATATGATTTACATTTATGCTTCATTAATTTTGGTGTTTGAGGAGTTCAATAGGTCGGAAGGTCGATTAATTTGATACGATTGTTAAGTACATATGTGACTAAGATGATTTAAATGGAAAAATAATCTATTTTATTTATTTTTGTTTGCAATTCAGCTCAATTGCTATATGTACGTAATCCTAATAGCACGGTTACTGGAAAAGGACCTTGTAAAATTAATTAGTTAAACTCCATGGTATTAATTTGCTTCATTACATTGCAAGGTTACATCTGAAAGTGTTATTATTTACCGTAATCTTTTAAATTATCCTAACGAATGACTGAAATATTATCCATATTGGCATTTCAATATCCATCTTAGATGTAGAACGTCTTAAGAGTTTTAATAAGTAAAACAATACACTAAAACAAATATCTGGTCATCAAAAACAAAAGTCAATCAAACCAACAATATATGTTGTATGAATAATGGTTACTTATTTGATGCCTACTAAGACACTATAGCTAGCGCCCGCCGTCTTGTTTTTACGCTGTCTGATTTCAACAGACTGTGTGGCGACTGTCAAGTACAGTTCGTTGTACGAACAACGTATGTTGATTGTAAATTAAATTGATAGGTGATAGGTGTGTATTCTTGACTTGAGTTAGTGTAATGATATCTACTGACATAATTATTTAGCTTTTTCTATTTGGATAGATTATTATGGCCACACTGATGAGCATGAGCCTCTTAAAACTTAATTTTAATGCTGACAGGCGACGTTATTACTTAGTGGTTTATTTATTATTTTGTGTTTCTAAGGATAACAGTCACGAATTCGAGACAAATAATTATGTCAAACAGATCATTTGCTTCTAATGCGACATCATCATCATCACCAGCCCTTTCACGTCCCCACTGCAGGGGCTCAGGCCTTCCTTAGGGATGGTTAAGGAGAATGGGCCATGACCCTCCACGCTGGCCCAATACGGATTGGAGGGTATTAACGACTGCAAATGCAGCCGGGACCAACGGCTTAACGTGCCTTCCGAAGCACGGAGTAGCTCGAGATAATAATTTTTAGGTCACCCATCCCGTGACCGACCCTTGCGAAAGTTGCTTAACGACTACGATCGCGGGCCGCGGCGCTTATCCACTACGCCACCGAGCTACTCTCTAATGCGACATACCTTTTTACTTTGGAGGATAAAAAACGTGGAATGACGTTTTATATCTTTAAAATGACCTGTCATGACGTGAAAGTCACTGGCAAACCGCCATTACTGCTGCTCTTGAAAATTAATTACTATTCTAGTATGTATATTCGTTTATAAGATACGATATACTATGAAATTATGTGTGATATAATTTCCCTCCATTTTATATTGCAGGATAGAAATGAGAAGCTGTTCTTTAGACTCCTTGCGGAGAACGTCGAAAAGTATCTGCCGATAGTATACACACCAACAGTGGGGTTGGCCTGCCAACGATTCGGTCTCATTTACAGGAGACCTAGAGGTCTCTTTATCACTATCAACGATAAAGGACATATATTTGAAATACTCAAAAATTGGTAAGTTTTGTTGATATGATATTTATGAAGTAACATCAACATCAGCACACGAAATATTTGTCAATTTAATATGTAGATAATAGATTATTATCTACATATTAAATTCGTTATATAAAATAAAAACCACATATATCTATATAAAATATTGAGTCGCTGAATGTGTTGCTAAGCGCCAAGATCGAGAACGTTTGGATCAATGGTTTTTGTAGTTGAAAGTCCGCGGAAAGTTTATATAGAGAGAAAAATTTACAGAAAAAAGTGGTGGATTTAAACTGATCGCTATGAATTTCACCCAGGTCTGTTAGTATTATAATAAAAGCTTTTTTTATTATTTAAACTGAGTTAAAAGTTCATAGGCTGAAGTGACCAAGACTAAATGGTTTTTTGACATCCTTGATGCGTGGTGCGTTTGTCTCATCAGTGGGTAGTTAATAGGCAGTTGATGAGTCTAAAATGAGTTAGTATTAGTGTATTTTTTTAAATTAGTATTCCTAATTTGAAGTTGAAACAGTGTTGTGAACTTTTTACGACACATTCAAGTAAAAAAGTTTTTCCTACTAGATGATAATAATGCTATTGAAAATATGTCCTAGATAAAAAATGTAGTCAGAATAAATTCATTTTATTGATCGTGCCGTTTGATTAAATGGTAGTGTTATTGTCTATATGTTCATTATATCCTAGTGAACGCGAAAGAATTGATTTATATTCTAACATAGAATCTTCGTTTTTTTTACAAATGGTGGCGAAACTTATCTGAATGATGACATCGATAGAAATAGGATTTGTATGCTATCAAATTTATATTAATAATTCATGTTTTATTTATTCAGATGTTTTTTGCATCGCCTTTAATAAATATATATGTAAATATGAATTTAGGAATTAATGAAACAACTTTAAAACGTCCTCATCGCGTTTATATTTATATGACGTTTCGGACACTTTACAGGTTCCGTGTTCACATAATCTTTTTTCAATTAAATAATTTAAACATCGTCTTTTCAATTAAAAGTATAGCTACCTTCAAATAAAACTTAATACTCATACAAACGCGATGAAACCGTCGTTTAAAAGTTGTTTACATTTATGGATAGTGCGCGTGTAAATATAAAAAGTCAATATGAATTATTACATATAATTATTATATTCGATATTTTTTTTACATTCACAACGCTATAATTGTTTTCTTTATTAGCTTGTTTTGTTCCATAAACTTAATCAAAAAAGTGCGATTTTTGTTAATTTTCTATCATCACTGAACTCTGGTAACTATGCATTATGTGAATTCAACATTTCCTTGGAATGAGACCTGGTGACCTGACCTGGTCAGGTTTATCAAAACCTCTGTTAAGCACTAGCCTCTCACAAACTATACGATTTGGTTTCTTGTTTTTGTATGTACGTAGATTAAGTTTGTGAAGGAAATAAATAAATAATTATTATTATTATGCTTAAAAATCACCTATTCCAGGTGCCTGAGATGTGATAGTTTCCATCGCACGTGGAACTGGTATTTTTTTAAGCGTTTTTCTTTTATGTATGTTTGATAATGGGAACACAGAGATAGTGCCTAGAATTGCGATTTTTATATTATTGTGTAAATAGACAATTTGTAATTGTTTTATTTTAGGCCTGAACCAGATGTTCGTGCTATAGTATTCACGGATGGCGAACGTATTCTGGGTTTGGGTGACTTGGGCGCTTATGGAATGGGTATTCCTGTAGGAAAACTTTCATTGTATACTGCATTGGCAGGTATAAAACCCCACCAGTGTTTGCCTATCACTTTGGATGTTGGTACTGATAATCAGGTGAGGATGTTTCTTGTATTTTGAGATCGTATTTACGAACGAAAGGTAACTACCAATTTTTGGTTCATATTAAAACTAAATTGAATGTTTATATAAAATTATAAAAGTTATGATACCTTATAACATGTTTGCCAATTGCCTTTGAAAAAACATACTTTATTACAACTTTACGTTACTTTACTTGTCACAGTACTGAGTAGATTTTTTTATGCGTAAAAAACTAAAATAACATTACAGCAAAATGTGTGAAAACATCCATTCTTTTTTTTTCTTCCCTCCATCTAGGCACTCTCTTCTGCCTATGATAACGTTATAATGGCATCTCAATGGCGTCAGATTTTTTAAATTTCATTTAGTTGTTACATTATCTACCTTAGATCCGATATTATAAGTAGGTACATTGACGTCTTGATAAAACAATGTTGACACATACGTTTATTACATTATTCCGCTAGCGGCTTCGCCCGCGTGGTATTGTATTATACATAAAAACCTTCTTTTTGAATTACTCTATCTATGAAAAAAAAAACGCATCAAAAACCGTTACCGTTAAAATAATGCGATATAGGAACAGAGAAAGCGACTTTGTTTTGTACTATGTAGTGATAAAACATGTGACATTGACATGCTATAATTACGTTACTAGAATAACGATCCAGGATTTGCTATGAAACTTTTTCCAGATTTGGTAGATTTCGCACATTCGTCTTGTCTATTACTAATTCATCAAAGTAGTGATAATAAAGTGTTAGGTTATTACGCAGAGGATCTAGTGTGTTATTAATAGATTGATATGTTATTATCGAACTAGATTAATTGTGTTATTATAAGCCTTAAAGATTACGCATTAGGAACTCTTTTAGATTATCTTAATCTCGGCATTAAAGATAGCGGCAATATGTCAAAAGTATCTATGATATCATAAGTCATCGAACGAACCAATACTACGGAAATAATGCGAATATTTGTTTTTGATTATTACCTTGATTAAAATTTAGGATGTACATCTTTGATATTTTATATGATTGTCCAAAATATTTAATATGCGGCTCGACCTGTCATTGTTTATCATACGTGTGCCTTCATATACATGAAAGTCTTACTGTTTTATAAAGAAAAAACATCAGTTGGTAAATCACAGAAGCTGATTGCAGGCGTACATAATAAATTAGAATGTAATAAGATTATTTATCTCTTGGTTAATATTATATGAAACTAGCTTTCCGCCAGCGGCTTCGCCCATGTGGTTATCCCGTTTTTGCAACATTTCTGATTGTTACACCACTCTTATTATAGCGTGATGTTATATAGCCCAAGGCCTTCCTCAACAAATGGACTATTTAACACAAAAAATAATTTTTCGAATTAGTAGATCCTACGAACTAGCAGAACTAGCGCGTTTAACCAAACAAAATCTTAAGCTTTATAAGACACAAATTTCAGTGTTTATTATCTGCTTAAAATATATGTAGTAATACTAAGAACCTGAGGTTTTGAGGCGCTGTATGCTGAAAGACGGGTATTAACTCAGTTCAGCAGCAGAGGCTAAGTAATTAGGTACAGTATAAGATAAGTTTAGATGTAAGAAAAATATGTATTTTGTTTCGCTATAGTCTAATAAATATTATTATTATTAGTATAAATGTTAACTTAATTGATAGATTTCTAATATGATCGTTTTGAATGATATTTCGATGAAATAATAACGCTGATGAAATAGTGCTATTATATATTGGCGAAGGTTACTACTGCTCAGTGTAAAAATAGACAGTTTAAACAAATAATTATAATAAATGTGTTAGATATTGTTACTGTAACCGCGTATCTTGAAGGCCACTCCGCTGGTGTCATTTTACTGCGAGTATTGTCGTATCTTATCTTTATTGGTATTGGAAAGCGAAGATACTCGGCTTCATTTAATGTCAATGTCAATTTCAAGGTAATAGATAGAAGAGACTGAAGAACAGTAGAATTAAAATGCCATGATTGGCGCTTAACAAAAATCTGAAGGCCTACTCTGTTTCTCCGAAAACGAAAATTCGTCTATTTTCGGAACCCTAATGCGACTCAAAAGGAACACATTCTTAGATAATTAATAATGAAACGGAGGTAGGACACTGACAATGCTTCTGATGCACAGATAATATTGACGCATATGATTTTAAAACAACTTGTGTCAAACTTGTGAAAACTTGTGTCATTTTCGTTCGTAGACAAACAGAGTAGCCCTCCAGGACTTCATTCAAACCAGGGTACGCAATAATAAATATCAAAATATTTGATATTTATCCGATATATATCATTCACATGAAAAGCTGCGATTTTTGAGCTACTAGTGGCTTTATTTAATATTTTAAATCAAAAGTGTAAATAAAGGTTGAGTTTGAGTTTTTTAATATTTATTAAATATTAGGGTGGTTAATTTTCTAGTACTATATAATATATAATATCAAGATATATATATTACATATCATGATATATATCCATTGATATTTATCAGTGAACCCTGATATCGATGCATTTTCATTCATTCGCATTTGAATGTGCTAATGCCAATTTCCGTTCGTTGTCAATAAATTACAGTTGTAACTAAAAAAATAATGTTAGTTTTAATTTTTGCTTAATTTTAGCAACAGATTTTATAAATTTCATGACATTTTGATAAAGAATTAATATTTTATTCCAGAGTCTCTTGGAAGATCCCCTATATATCGGATTGAGACAAAAGAGGACAAGAGGCAAGGAATACGATGAATTTATGGACGAGTTTATGGAAGCGTGCGTGATGAGATATGGACAAAACACGTTATTGCAAGTAAGTGAACAATAGATATCTTTAGTTCTTTTTCCATTATCATTACTAATACGTCATATCGATTTTATCTTTATTATACGATTGAAGCTCAATGAGGAGCTCGATGGCGTGTGTTCAGTGTACAATGCGGTAATTAAGCAACTTTCGCAATGGTCGGTTATCGTGGGTAACCAAAAAAATTATTATTTCGGGCTCCTCCTTGCTTCAGAAGACAATTATCTTAACACCCACTACTGCGCACTAGTCTAGAGTGATGGGTCATAGGCCATTCTCCCTATTCAATTCGATTCCAACCATAGGGAAGGCCTGTGCTCCACCAACATTAATAGGCCAGGACGACAATGATGATGCTACTAAAAATGTTTAGCATATACTTCTGGCGGCAAAGGGTAAACATGCATCAGCTGCTTGCAATGATTCAATTGTACAAGTGCCTAATAAAACCAGAGAGAAAGGTCTTGTGGTCGCGACATGAAGCAATCTGCCACTACTTCAGCCAATGAGTAATGTTTTGTTAACTTAATTAAAACATAAACATTTTTACAAGCAAAATTTGATTTTGTTACTAAGGGCGCATATCTGATTTTTCGGTTGCGGAACGTAAGAAGTGACAAATATAATTATATGATATTGAACCTTGCACACTAGACGGAAAATCCATTGTTTACTAACGCGTACTTCAGAGAGACTCTTGGAGAATCTTCCGTAGATTTATGCCGACCCTAAGAAGTTTCTACTGCTCGGACAAATCAAAATGATTATAATACCTATTCTATTTCTCCGAAGACGAAAAAGGAGCGCATATTTCGATAATTTATAATGCAACTGAGGTAGAATCTGATACTGCTTCTGATGCAAAGATAATCTTCACTTATATGATTTTAACAGAATTATGAGTTGTGTGTTCGTTTGAGGATAAACAGAATATGCCCTCGGGTGTTATGTCAATTCGTATGAGTTGTATTTATCCTACATAGTTATACGTAGTCTTATTAATAATATCCCACGGCTCGGTTCTCTCTAACTACATTAGATTAGACTTGAAAATAAATAAATGAAAGTGATATCAGTTGACATCTTTCTTAGTAACGGTTGAGAGTTGTTGTTGTCATACAATAGAGCACGCGACTAAATGGTGTCTAACGTTATCTTATCATGTTCAAAGTGATTTTATCGATTCATGTTAATCTCTTTCATTAGAACGCTGTGATTGCTTATCGACACTACTTAGGGATGCGATCTGTAGTGAAAGCGGGCCATACTTATAACGTCGCTAAAAAACAAAACAGTATACAATGTTTTTAGCTAAGAAATATTAATTTGAAGTTTGAACGCGCTAATATGGATGATGACTAGTTTTCGTTTTTTTGTCCGTCAGGTAGATTGTTGAAAAATATGAAACACGTATTTTTTTTATTTGTTTCGTAATCATTAAATTATGACGATACATTGAGTTAAAATTACATATGATATCTCGCTTTTGTATATTTTCCACAAAACTGTGACGTAGCTGGCTCCCACTCCTCAACTTTTATGCCTGTTATCTGAGCTATTTCTTTTGACGTACTAAATAGAATTTCTTTTTTTTTTACCCAGTCGTCATCCCTATTTATGGAACTGGAATATTTTTGATCTAATGGCCTAATATCTAATATTAGTTTTGCGAATTTGTAATTAAAACGATCGATTGAAACTCTTTTTATGACTAAAAATTAATGTTCAATCTTACTATTAGCAATACTTTGCACTTCAATAAGGACGAAATAAAAATTTCAATAACTATGATAGGTACTTCATTATACGGTACGGATCCGTGGCCGAGTGGGTCATACGCGGATTTTTAGGTGTCCTCATCAGGTTCAATCGAGCCAATGTAGAAAAATAAAGTGCTAAAAGCTACTTACCTACTTCATTTAGAATCTTAGAAATACATGTTATGTTGCTTACTATTTATTATTGGTGTTTACAGAATTTACATTGATTCTAAACACTGTAAATGCGTCGCATATGAAATTTATGAAAAATAATACAGATAACAGATAGGTAATCTAAACAAAATCTATGACGTAACAGTCCTGCGTCAATGAGTGGTGTGACTGCACGAATAATGATAAGTATCATGTGATCAAACGATTTCTATGTAGGTAATGGTTTTAGTTTGTATACACAATAGACTGTATGTTGATTTCTGATTCACGAATGCTTATAGTTGAAGTTGAAGGTCTTTACACTTCTTTTATGAGACTTGTTGTAATGTTTGAATTAGAAGTGTAATATTAATCTTAAGACTGATGAAATTGAGTATGTAAGGGGCACCAGTACCAGACAAGTTAAAAGGGAAAGCGTCTGGTTTAATATGGTATGATATCGTAATATTCTAGCTCTTTTCCCGCTACTTCGTAAACTATAGCGTATTTCACACGCGTATGTTTTAGCTTCCCGCAGATGTAAGGATTTCATGAACTTATCAGTATTTCCGATCTTATATAAACAAATGAAAAAGTAGTCCACATAAAAGATGGATAGACTAGATGGGAAATCATATTATGTAAAGGGAGAGAACGATGAGATGGAAAATTTACAGAAGCTGAAACACTGTACCGACCCCAAATTCAATAATTTCTGTTTTTTTTATAGTTATTTGTATGTATTTTGTGTATATTTATCATATAAAATTATATGGAGGAAAGATTTGATTGTTTGTTAGTGTGCATCGAATAGACATCGAAAGTATTGGACCGATTTTAAAAATTATTTCACCTACGGGTAGCTACATTATACGGGGTTGACATATACTATAATATACGCGTGCGAAGTCGCGGGAAAAGAACTAGTTTATAAAATTTTTATCATGATAATTGTTGAGTTATTTTTTTAATAGGTATATTATAGGTACCCATTCGGTATATGATTTAATGTACATACAAATTATAATTTTTGATACTATTTTTAAACTAATAAGCGTTATGTGAGATCGATGATTATAAGTCAGCTGTCAAATAGTCAGATGTTAAATAGATTCTACCTCTATATTTCCACTTTGTATGTTCACACGGCTGTATGTCATTATGTCTTTGTACAGATAATTTTAAACTCTACCCACGAAACATTAGGAAACAAATTTGTATACCTTGACGACCCTGACACAATTATTAAACGTACTGTAAATATTTTGATATGTTAGATATGCCTGGGTATCCAATCTTTACTCCAAAAATTTGTCAAGCATGGCTTGAACCGCTTACATAAAGCTAATAAGAACGCGGTTAATCTTGAATTTAGACTTTATCGATATGAATTTACGTATTTAGCGTTGCGTACCTTAAAGGTAAAAAAAAACGGAATCGGAATTACAGGATCATTTGATTGTTCGACAGTATGTTGAACTTGTATACAGTCAATAGTTATACAATTTACAGCCAGTTGTACAAACGGCCATTAAAATTTTCATTAGTTTAAAACGACGTTCATCATCATCACCAGCCCTTTTACGTCCCCACTGCAGGGGCTCAGGCCTTCCTTATGGATGGTTAAGGAGGATGGGCCATGACTCTCCACGCTGGCCCAATACGGATTGGAGGGCATTAACGACTGCAAATGCAGCCGGGACCAACGGCTAACGTGCCTTCCAAAGCACGGAGTAACTCGAGAAAGTAATTTTTTGGTCACAAAGCGACATTACCCATAAAAATTTGACATTCATTAGAGCTTAAAGGCGCCATTTAACCTTAACCGACGTTTGTGCAACTGACCGTTTGATAGACAGACCTTTGTATAGTAATCTTACAACAAAAGGTCAAATTTGAAAATTGACCTTTAGAAGCCTTTTACAGTAACATAACATAACTGCTGTGTGGATATCACTTAAAACATTCAACAAAAATATTTCTGATTGGGACTTTTGATATCACTAATTTAATTCATCTGTGTGTTATCTTTTCAATATTTTCTTTATGGTCTTGATAAACCTACACTGCTGGGGTTCAAGCCTCCGACGGAATCGAACATGAAAAACGGGCCATCACCCGGATCTAATGTGAATTGGTGGGTGTTGACGACTGCAGATACAGCCAAGATTAACGGTTTAACATACCTGAAATACGGAGTAGCTCAAGATAATAAGTTTTTGGTCACCTATCCTTATATCCTATATAATCCTTTATTCTATATAACCAGCCCTTGCGAAAGTTGCTTAAACTCTGTATCATAGAATAAACCCTCTAGCCACTCAAATACATATAAACATTTGATACTTTCTATCGAACAGTTTGAAGACTTCGCCCTCCCGAACGCCGGACGACTCTTGTCGAAATACCGCAATAAGTATTGCACATTCAACGACGACATCCAGGGCACCGCCAGCGTCGCCGTGGCCGGATTAATGGCCGCCGTCAGGGTGACCAAGAGAAAGCTCAGTGAGAATATTTATCTGTTCCTTGGTGCTGGCTCCGTGAGTATAGCTATAGACGTGGTTCATAATGTCCAATTTAAACTTCTAGAACACTCTTGATGTCGAGTGAATGATATTTTTTTCACGATTCATTGATAAGATTATTAATAATAAAATTAGCGATGCAGTTCATTAGAGAACTAGAAGTTTGAGGCGGGTAGTGCATGCCTTGGAATATGAAAGTTTGCGGTTTTAATTATTTTTGTCAGTCAAGAGATGGCACTAGTGTCCATATTAATTTATGGTGATGTTTGGGATTTAGAATGTTTTTAATTTCCGTAATAGGAGGGCTTTTTCTACGATGTAATCAGTAAATGTGATGTGTAATATTAATTTATAGATTTTTAACCGACTTAAAATAATTAGGTTATCAGTTTGACCTGTATGTATGTATGTTTGTGCGCGATTATCTCGCGTTTGGCTGAACCGATTTTGACGCGGTTTTCAGAAAAGAATTGTTACCTATTATAGATATATAAAAAATATCAATAACACTAAAAAGCATGAAATAAAAACTTAAAAAAAATTCAAACTTAATAAAAGTGAAAAATAATACTTATATTAAATGCTATTAAAGTCGTGCGCCTATCATTTAACTAATAACTTATAGAAAATAAATATTGCATGATATTTTAGTTTTCTTTCTAACTATCTTTAACACCGCTGTTATTATAGGCATTACAAAAGGGTATTGATAAGTTATTTTTACTAGTAAAAATTAATAGCGCAAGTTACACCAAGAGGTCATATTATTACATCGTGATTGTGCATATTTGCCGAAAAGTTTTGATTTCATTTAACATTATAGCTTATTCCGTCCAATCACAAGACTTGGGTCAACTTTGTCCTACTTCTAATACCCAGTGATCGATTTGGACCTTGTTACGGGGGAAGGAAAAGGGTATTAGGATACTGTGGTTTGGGTCTGAGTGGTTATTTGAGTGTTGTTCAATGTTTTATCAGTACAAAAAATATTTATTCAATATTCAGATAAGTTTATCGACAGCATTTTTGGGAGTCTCTTTATTTATTGGATATTGCTGTTAAAATAAATAAGATAAATAATAACAATGTCACGACTAATGATTTCTTTAACATTTGGTAAAGGTAAAAGGTATAAATAACAAATTATTCTAAGTATTTATGATGTAGGGTATTACTAAAATAATAACCTCTTTCTTTGGCGAAAATGTGTTTTTAACGGACTACAAAAATAAAGTAGTATTTGTCTCTTTGAGACTTCATTTCTCTGTCTTAACAATGGGAGGACTATTTTAAAAATACATTAAGATTTTTGAAGAAGTGTTATATATAACTATAGTTTAAATTGTAAGACTGCATCAGGGTTTCGAAAAATAGTATCGATAGCCATTAGTATGCAACACTATTGCTTAAGATAACGATATATTTATAATAAAAATAATGGCTTTATTTAACATAAAATGTAGTTTTAACAATAAAGTTAAAATGTCCCTTTTTAGATTATAAACATTACAAACATCTGTATCAAAGAAACATTGCTCTGCTGTAGATGTAAAAACGATTTTAATATTCGATCGATAGTATTAAAATACTATAGTTACTACTAAGCTTACTTAATATGAACATTCATCGAATACGTATTGAATTCGTATTGTGCATGATGGTAAAATTTTATATTAGTTAGTGACATATTACGTCACATATTATGTGCTACATATATGAATTTAATTCCCACTCGATAATTTTCGTACTCAGTTTTATATTTTACATTTTATTCAATTAACACCGATATTATTGATAGGTTTATGTGACTATTTTTCAAACCGAGTTTCTGATAGCTCTGTAACACGTAACAAGTTTCCAAGTATAATAATGCAACTTAGATAATATAGACGTCTTTTCTGTACTATAATATTATAATGAGGAAGGATTAAATTGTTGGTTTGCATCGAATGGCTCCGAAACTTCTGGACCGATGTTAAAAATTCTTTCATCTATGGAAAGTAACAAAGCGGTTGATATTTACTATAATTTACGCGGGCGAAGTCGAGAGAAGAATTCTAGTAATGTAAGTATATGTTTGTCAGGCGGCCGGCGGTATCGCGGAGCTGACGGTGTCAGCGATGATCCACGAGGGTTTATCAGAGAGACAAGCGAGGGACAGAGTGTTCATGTTCGATATAAACGGTTTACTGTCGACACGCCGTGAAGGTGGTGTGCCGGAACACGCGAAAGCTTTTGGCAAGGACGTTGAACCGGAGAAGGATTTCGAACAGTGCATCGCCAAAATCAAACCGAGTTGTTTGATCGGTGAGTTTATGAATGACGTCATTTTGTTTATACTTTAAAAATTTTACACGCCAAATCTATACTATTCGTACTTCTGGCCAGGGCTTGGAAACCGGTTTATTTTTTGAACCGGTTCGACGTAAGTACATTACATAAAAGTTTAAGCTCCTTTGAACAGGTTTTTAAACCGGTTCACTAGAAATGCGGTTTTCGTCATTAACCGGTTTAAATATGACTCCAGAGAATGATCTCACAAGCTTCAGCGTGGTTTTTAAGTGCCTATACTCATATCTATAAAATCCGTACACAGATATGATAAATGTCGTCGCTTAAAAATGATATAATTCGCATTAAAAGCGTCAGAACATTGCTTTTTACAAACCAAGCGAATTAACTGGTTTTTATTCCATCCGAATTTCACTCCGCATTTAGTTTCGGAACGGAATATTACGAGAGAACAGGTTTTACCTAAATTAAAACGGTTTATTCGGAACCGGTTTCAAGCCCTGCTTCTGGCTAATATTATAAATAGGAAGATTATTATTTTATATATTCTTGAAAGGGGCTATGCTATATGCAGTTCCCTGAGGAACTGTAGTCACTGCGACCTTGAAGATCTATTGTGACTCGCCAAATAGGAAGATACGTTTGGGGTGTCCTTTCCGCAAAGTCGTTACAGAGTGGTCTTATTTTTGTGTAGATACAAGTAGAAGTAGGGTTGCCAACTTCTAAAGTAAAAAAAGAAAAGCCTAAAAGCCAGACTTAACTATCTTTAATTGTTCTTCATACGTTACTTTCATAAGGCTGATCTAAAAATTTGTAACAAGTCAAATTTGTTTATTAATGCAAACGTTTAACAAACGCCGTACAGACTGGCAATATAAATATTAAGATGGATACAATCTAAAAAACTGGACAGATGGTAACCCTTCTTTGGAGACTGAAGCGTGACAGAGGCAACACGCTACTGCGAAAAAAATGTAGTTAAAGAGGTTATAAAAGACTTAAAACAAAAAGTTAAGTTAGTTATGAATTATTACGCCACTGAGATATTTTTTGTAGGTTGTTCGACGGTGGGCGGTGCTTTCACGCCTAAAGTGCTGCAGCAAATGGCCAAAAATACTGAAAGACCTATTATTTTCGCTCTCTCTAACCCAACAAGTAAAGCAGAGTGTACTGCACAGGCTGCTTATGACAATACTGAGGTGAGTTTTGATTTGATAATTTGCAACGACTTATACAGCTTTTGCGTTACCTTGTAATGAAGTGATATATGTTTAATTGTGTACTAAGCTTTAAAATGGAATAAATTAGATATTGAAAAAGAGCTCTTCCACTTTTTGTAAAAGCAAATGTTATGGATTCATTGAATTTTGGCATTCAACAGATGGCGCTAGCGTGCTAATTTGATAATTTTACTTATCTGTGAAAAAGAAATATTTATAAACTGAGAATGGGCCATGATGCAGGCCCAGCGCGGATTGGTGGCTGTTAACGACTGCTTGACAGTAACAAGAAATAAAATAGTCGATTATTATATTTGATAAATTTTGCATTCAAAATGCTTTACTAAAATAATCTTGATAAAAAAATGCTAAAAAAAATCCACTTTGTCCCTGGCACTCTGAGATAGGACAAATTTGATTTTTAAAGCATTTTCCATTAAGAAAATAGTCGATGTTGAATCTTAACTACATTATATTTAAGTCTACCTCCTTTGATAGGGCCGCTGTGTATTCGCGTCCGGATCTCCATTCCCACCTGTGAAATTTAATGGCAAAGAGTTTCTCACCGGACAGGGCAATAATGCCTACATATTCCCCGGTATCGCTCTAGGTGTCATCGCCACCGCGACGCATCATATACCAGAGACTATGTTTTTGACGGCAGCAAAGGTAAGCTATGTTTTGAATCCTAATACGTATTTTTAACAGACAGACAGAAAACCGATATAAGGGTTCCGTTTTTCCTTTTGAAATGTGGAACCCAAAAAGATTTTATTTTAAACTATGGTACTTTAAAAAGTTAAACCTAAATATTTTTTATTTGTTGCTTTCTTGCTAATAAAAGAAATTGCCTTTTATTTTCTGAAAAATAACACATAGTGCGCACAAAAAAAAACAAACTACCGTACAATTCCACACTGTTGGTAACCTACAGATTTCTTTTGTCTATTTGATATTTAGAACAAATCCTAATGTCAAGAATGTTATATAGTTCGCGACATGTATTCGAACTATTAGTCTTGTCATCCACAAAAATTGCCCATGTCAATGTATAGCGAAAGAACAAATGGTTAAATAATAGAAAAATATGTTTTTTGTTCAATAGTTAGCCTAACCAATTGTCAGAATTCCAACCATTGGTCAAAAAATATAACCATCACTGGAAGCTAGGTTAAGCAAATGACCAATGGTTAAAAGAACAGTTCATCTGCGTTTTATTTACTTGGTCCCCTTGTTATTGCTTTTTTCGTTGTTTTTATAACCTACATGATTCCATAGTGAATTTGGACATTAGTTATTTTTGGGATTTCGTTTTATGATGCAATTTCATAGGAAAATATTCTTTGTCATTTTTGGGTTTTAAGGTTATTGAAAATAAGTTATATTTTTATCTTGATCATCCTTAGTATATTTGTACTTTATAAAATAATTTGTTTTCTTTTTTCCATGGGCATACGCCAAATTATTCAATTATTAAAAATCTTATAAAATCCACAAATATACAATACAAAAGGTAAATATGCCTACAGTATACAAAATACATATTCCTCGATTTATTTTTCAACATTACAATCCCACTTTGGATACTAGATACTATATTCTTTTCACGTATTACTGTGTAAGATAAAGATAAAATAAGTAAAAATCAAATATATGGTTTTTATAAAAATATAAAGTTTAAAATAAATCAATTGTTTTTATCTTTGTTGCTTTCTAACATTATTAAGGAAATTGCCTTATATTTCCTGAAAAATAATACATAGTGCACACAACAGAACAACCATAAACATCCACACTGTTTGGTAATCTATAGATTGCTTTTGCCTATTTGATATTTGGAACAAAGTACTAATGTTAAAAATGGTATATAGTTCGCTCCGTACTTTCAAACCGTTAGTGTTGTTACCCAGAAAAAAATTACCCATGTCAATGTATAGCGAAAGAACGACTCATTGTGCTGGGAAGAAATTAACCAGTGGGTAAATTTGGCTATGGTTTAATTTGGCATCAAAAAACGAAATAGCGGGTTAACAACTGGTTAATGGTTTAACTATAGTCAAGTTAACAAATGGTGAAATGATATTTGACCACGGATCAAAAAACTGGCCCTTATTGTGCTGGCAACTAATTAACCACTGGTTAACTTTGGCTATGGTTTAATTTGACATCAAAAAACGAAATAGCGGGTTAACAACTGGTTAATGTTTTAACTATGGTCAAGTTAACAAATGGTAAAAAGACATTTGTGCATTTTCTTGATGTCAAATAGTCAGTCAGTTAGTATTTCAGGACAAAGATTCTTATAGTAATAGATAGTGAAGTGTTCTTTATAGGGTAGTTTCGGTAGTGAAAATTAAGTCATGAAATTACCCAAAAACTAAAATTTACATCTTAATAAACATATAGAGATTCTAATTTTGGGTCTTAAAATCGCATATTTATCTTAATATCTTAAAATTCGTGATTTTTGTCTGTGTGTCACGTGACTAGAAACACGACCCACCATTGTGTGATGTCACTGTCAGATTCAGTCAGTCAGTGGATAAGCGCCGCGGCCCACGATCGTAGTCGTTAAGCAACTTTCGCAAGGGTCGGCCACGGAATGTGTGACCAAAAAATTATTATCTCGAGCTACTCCGTGCTTCGGAAGGCACGTTAAGCCATTGGTCCCGGTAGCATTTGCAGTCGTTAATACCTTCCAATCCGCATTGGGTCAGCGTGGAGGGTCATGGCCCATCATCCATAAGGAATGCCTGAGCCCCTGCAGTGGGGATGTAAAAGGGCTGGTGATGACTGTCAGATTAGACCTAAAGATATGCTTAAAAATTATAAGTCCAATTCCTAGATGGCGCTGTTCTTAGCTAATTTATATCTTTTTTATTTTGGAATCGAGCGTTAGATGGCACTGTTCTTGTTTTATTGACATATTTTAATCTTCTACTCTATGCATTTGTTTTGTGTACATATCACAATGACGTCATGAATATGACGGACAGTGTTTTCACGGGTATAAATAAATTTGAAATTTTGATTTGATTTTATGGCAAGAAATCGTGTTTATTTTTTTCGAAATGTTTGTTATAAGGCTTTTTTAAATTAAAATAAACAGTTACAAGTATTATTTCAAACAAAGTAGAATACCTTATTTATAAAAATATCATTATACGGGGTTTAATATTTAAATGTTTATATTCATAAAAATATACGGGTATTAATATATGAAACGGTCAGTATGGGAAAGTCTGTAACGGAAAGTATAAGACAGGCTCGTTTTCAGTAAGGGTATCGATCCCGTACATTTTGAAAATAAAACATACGAGTAAATTGTTTCTGCTTAGAAGCCGATTGTGTAGGTTTTAAAAAGTCAATCTTACTATAAGAACATAATGTCTAAAGTGCATTACTTTCCATATTTATTAATTTATTTTAGTAGCTGTATCCGAAAATACATTTTTTAATGCACAGCTGTGTATTGACTTCACTGCAAAGGCTTTAGTGAAAAGTATATACATATATGGCCAAATAAATGCCCTGCGGGAGGGATATTATAAGTGCTTATCGAGAATATTTCCGTTTTCCAAAAAAATTTACGGGCATTTTCCATGCCCGTATTTAACATACTGAAATTTCATTTGAAAAATATTTGTTTCAGACACTTGCGGATTATGTTAGCGAGGAAGATTTGGCTCTTGGTCGTATTTATCCTTCATTGGCGGAAGTAAGAGATGTCTCACTCGCTATTGCTGTCAATGTCGCAAAGATGGCTTACGATGAAGGTATGTTGATAGCATAGTGCGATTATGATTATTGTTAAATATGTAGCTCCTATTGTACCTTGACTATAAATCAGGGCTCGGAAACCTGGATGATATCAGTAACTAGCTCGTAAGAAAGCATACATTTATGAGAACATTATCATTTAGGTTTCGGTCATTCAGAATAGTAATAATTTCAGTTCTGATTGCAGAAGAATAAGGTTTCTTCTCAAAGTACTGGTTGAATTTTGGTTCGTGTAGCCTTCTGTAATATCTGTATATCTTCTTACTCTCGTGCCAATGTTTGTTAATGAAAAGCAATCACTCGTTACTGAAAAAATGTTGATCTCAAAAGAAAAGGCGTAAGACTTCATTTTGCTTGGAACCAACCCTGTGGTTATAATGTTATCTCGTTTAATAATCTTTACTAACCGGTAATTTTTCGAACCGTTTCCCAGCCCTGCTACTTGTATGATCGTTAATTGCGCTAAAACAAACAACACCGCAAAATTTAATAGGTAACATATAATTTTTTATAAACCTTTAAACCGAATGTCCTAGGTTAGGTATAGTCCATATGTTTTGTTAGTTATTTTCTTCTTTTTATATTTTCATGACATGCAAATGTTTTGTTATAGATGTATTCCAAGTAGTATAATGATTTCCATTAATAATTAAAAGTTTCCGTTTTAATTATAACAACATCAATAGGGATAACGACTAATTTTGTTTGTCCGTCAGGTAGATTATTGAAAAGTTTTAATCACGTATTTATTTTCTACGTATTAATTAAAATACGGCGATACATTGAGTTAAAATGTCATGTGATGTCACGCTTTAGTACATTTTCTACAAAACTGTGACGTAGCGAGCCCCCCACTCCTTAACTTTAATATCTGTTATCTAAGCTGTTTCTTGTTCAATTGAAGTAAAAATAAATACGTATCTAAAATTTTTTCATTATATGACTGACGGACTAAATAGGATTTTTTATCCAGTCACTATTCCTATTGTTGTCCTTTTCATTTCTATCAGGGTTGAGTCCAACATATCCTATTCCTAAGGATATAAAGAAACGTATTTTAGAGTTTATGTACAATCATTATTATGAAGTCCAGCTGCCGCCAATGTACCCATGGCCGAAAACACCAAAATCTGATTATTCAAAGTTCAGTGGAAGCTTGCACCCATCAAGTCAGACGTAAAAGCTTAATCAGATTAAATTATAATTGCGTATGAAAAGAATAACTATTCTAATTATTTGATTTGAAGAATAACCATTTGATGCGAAGAAATAGTTGTGTTAAAGAAGAGATATACATTTTTTGTTTCAATTGAAGCGGTTTGTTTTATTGATCATGGATGAAAATATTTTTTTTTTGTAATTCAACTTGCAAAGAATAAAGGATGATCCAAGTTGTTATAGATAATTCAGAGTAAGTCCAGAAGTGTTAGAATCAAATCAAATTTAGTAAAATATTTATTTCAATAGTAAATACTTGTATAGTTAATTAGGAAAATTGGTATTTCATGATCGGTAGATCTGGTTTAGAATATTTTTACTGAATAGAATAATTATTTAGAATGTTTTATACTAAGCAGTTGTTTTGGTAAAATAAGCGTATGTATTTAGTACATTTATTAGCTTAATACGAATTACGGTTACGGCTAATATGAAGTAAAATATGAATTGAAACTTGTTATTATTCTAAATACTAAGACTTTATTTGAAAGAAAGTAGTTTATGTTCTACTTAATTGTAAATTTAGAATTGTTATTAAATTGAAAAATACTACAAAACCATACTTTACAAATTTTAGACCCTCTTATAATAATTATAGATTCAATAAGTATGAGGTACAAAAGTAATTTTTCGAATATATTAGAATTATGATTTTAGTGTTGAAATCTCTTTTTTTTATATAACTACGACTTTCTTGGTTGATCGGTTCATTTATAGGTTTTATCACCGAAGTCCCGGGTTCGATTCCCGGTCGAGATAATGTATAAAGTGATCTTAACTATAGTTTGTTCAGAGCAACAAACTATGATATTGACTTGGGTCTGTTTGCTGTCAATTTAAAACAAATAAAAGCGGGTTATATAAATCCGTCGAAATTCTCCACATGATTTTAAACCTTAATGCTTTGATTATAGAGTTTAAAATCAAAGGAGGAAATTGGACATAATGTTGAAACTTTAAGCGCAGTCGTGTGTACATTAGTTATTTTAAATGCCCATAACACGAGAGCTTTTCCTTGAGGAGTTACTCTTTTTCTAAGCAATCTATGTCATGTTTTATTCTCGAGTCTGGGTTTTGGGATACGTTTGTTGTCTCAGTTACTCCACGAGGACTTATTGGAATCTATAAACCTTCTTGCATTATAAATGCTGTAGAAACTTGAAAAAGTGTAATGATGTTTAATACTGTAATACAAATTAATGTCTCGAGTCTAGGTGTTATGGTACCTTAGTTGTCTCAGATTCTCCATAATACGAGTGCTACTTTTATATGGTCTAATATTTGATTATTTATACAGGTTTGGCTTCCCTATACCCCGAGCCGAAGGATTTGGCCCAGCACGTTAAGAATCAAATGTACAATTTCCACTACGAGAGTGCCATGCCCGTTGTATGGGACTGGAAACCGGCGGAGAAGGTCAACGTTAGGCCCCTCTAGCCAGTACCTAAGTACTTCTAAACCCAGTATTAATAATTATGATTTATTTTTAAGTTTTAATAACAGACCTTTTACTACTGGCCGCGATAGTTTTCCACAGACTAGTTATTTTTATTAGATGAAACCTCAACTTAAAAAAAAAAGGTTAAAATGCAGGTTTAATTTAAAATAATTTGTAAATTATACAGGATATAATTTGTTTCGTTATTTTTTAATTGTACATATTAATAAATCGTTTCGTAAATTTATATAACATCATGTACTCGATTCGTTAGAGTTTAGGCAATTTGCCCCATCTCATTGTATAGTTAGTGCTTGCTGGATGTATGCATTGATTTGTTGTATATAGTGCAAGAATTTTGTGAACTTAATGAATCTGGCTATATTCAGTAGCGTATTCGTGCACAGTCATTTATAGTTTGATTGGCAAACGTAGAAAGAAGAAAAAAAAAATTGCGTGTACTGAGGATCATTCTCAGGTTATCATTATCAATATATATATAAACTCCGAACGAAGGAATTATCGGGTGCAGATTACGCCGCCACTAACTTTTGCGGTCCCGATCGTTGCCCTAGGATAAATACGTCTGAATCGGAATCTAAATTGTTTTATTGCCATAAAGATAGTATAATAGTAACTTTACAATAAGCATGCAAAAACAGTATAATCTTTCACAATATTGTAACCAGTATTCTAAAATTTCAATATTCAAAAGCCTATAACTATTACTCTGCCTTATTTTTTGTTTTTATTATGTCGTTGCCTAGTAGAAGAGGTGACTGTTATCCATAAGTAATTACATTAGGATATCGCAATGGCCGCTATATTTTTAGTGTCCTAATAGTTAATTATATTCAAAGATTTTGATGGAATGTTCAATATTATCCCCCTCTACTTATGAAAATGTATTCGACTAGTATTCACAGATACCTCGTGACATTATTAATTAAGATAATTTTACTTCATAGTTAAATCATTTAACATCTTAATCTTCATTTATATATATTGACCGTGTATCGTTGGGAACTATTATAAATAAATTTCGATGTATTTGAAGGCAATAATTCATATTGCGTGTAAGTGTTTTAAATTCGTAGTTCGTTATAGTGAGTAGTGAAGTGATTTAATGAATGTTGATGGAATAAAATTAAAAAATAGTTTAAATTTGATTTTTTTTCGATGTCAATAATATCACGGTGGCCTTTGTAATGCGTTCATTTTAGCTTCTCACTCGATGTTGAATGCACATTATATATATATGATCTTGATAACGTGGTGTAATTGTGTGATATTTATATATCTAACAAAATGTATTATTTATTGGCACTTCTCGATTAAGAGTTATGCAAATGGAACTAACCTCTAGGTGTTTACTAACTGATTCATTAAAACGGAAAAGAAATATTTATTTACAAATAAACGTCAACTGAATTAGGAATATTAGCATCATCCGTGTTGGCATGATTATCTTACGATGCATTACAGTGCTTATAATAATAATAATTTGTATTAAAAAATAATAAATATATTATATAGAAAAATATTTTTGCTGGAAACATAAAATTAATACTACTAACTACATCTTTGCGGTTTCTCGACATTTTTCTTGTTACGTCATTAATGATACGGTCTACCCGGATAGGTTATTAGAATTATCAAAAAACTTGTGTTGAAGGTATTTTTATTTATGCCAACATTAACTGTATGACCAAATAAACATCATGGCAATGTTTATTATGCTATGCTTATATTATGCTTAACAGTTATACCAAAGAATGTTATAATAAAAAAGAAAGATCTCTTATTAGAAAAATGGTTGTGTATAAGAATGTACAGTATTGCTGTCGGCCGGTTGTACAGTATTGTATTTCCCTTAAATTACAAATATTAAAGTAATGTTTTTTTTTCAATTTACTTACAGAACAATTATTTTGAAGTACAATTTTGATTTTATAAGACACTCAAAAGAGGTCTGTTAACTTTGACGGTATTACATTAGGTATTTACTGGTCGTGATAACCAATTAACTTCAAGTACAGTGCCCTAAGCCAAGAAAATCTGTACTTTTAATCCAAATAAAAAGCATAATTTGAGGCCAATTTCAACGACACGCTTAATTGTCGATTTTCCAAACTCCCTTGAAAAACTTCTTTAAAGAGATAACACGAAGAAATAATGTCGAAAATCCAGAGAGAAGTGGTTGGTAGCGAAACTTGTGTAATTTAGTCGGCAGCTCGATTTTAGTTCCTATAACGGTTTAATTTTGTTTTTATAGCTAGATTATTGTTTTTAACTATCCTATAACTTATTATACACGGGACTTTAAAAGTTTTTAAGTGATCAAAGTCTAGTCACTGCAGCATTAAATTATAATTACGACGTTATGACGTAATCAAAGATTGTGCATTTTTCATTATGAGCCGAATTTTCAGAAAAAAGAAAGTTTCTTTGAAATAGATGATTATGGACATATTTATTACTAGATTGGGTAATGGATGAAAATAATTGAATATTTAATTAGTTTTTTAAAATCGTTTTATAATTAATATTACAATAGAGACGTAAGGCTCAGTTTTGACTACATTCAAGTTCACAAGTGGACTTTTTATTATTTTAAAAATCAGGGCCCTACTGTTAAACCTACTTTTAACTACCGAAGGTAGGTGGTATGTTTATGTTATTTTATCAATGTTTCAACGTTTGACACTACATGCATATTAAATATCATCTTTATCCCATTTGGATAGAGTTGAAAATGATAATTCATGTGTCTCGTAATACCTGAACTTTAGCCAAACGGTAATAAAGTACAAGTTGACTCTTTATAAGGAGTATTAAATAGAATAATTAACAATCTATATCTATAAAAGAGAGTCATGAAATTGAGTTAATTATAAAAAAGTTATCAGCAGAGGTCGGAATTAGGTAGAGTTATTTATGTACTTGCATCGAAATGTTGATATTAATGTGGACCTAAGTGGCAACATCGCGCGTATTGGTATTTTGCAACTTTGGACATCCGATGTCATTGATCTAAGTTTGGCAACGTCGTGCGTGAAGTAGTTTAAATTGTATAAAAGTAAATAACTTTTTATTTAAAAAATCACGGGATTTTTTCTGCTCTTTAAAATTAATCTCGGGATTTGAGGCATATCCACTTTATTCTTTCGCTGTATGAAATCAGTGTAAGTACATGAATAACTCTACCTAATTCCGACCACTGGTTATCAGTTTATGATATTATTCTGTCAATTTAGTACAGTTTTTATATTATTGGCTGTACATTTAGTATTATAGTATCTACATGGTTGTACTTTGAGTATTTTGTGTTACACAGATTGTCAACATTGTAAACAATAAGTATTATAATTAGTCAACACTAGTGGTATGTCATTATAGATACTTAATTGGGGCATAGAAATATGCTACAGGAGTCATAGTAATCTAAGAAGTTATAATATCAAACCAATCACCATACCGTAAACCTTTTTCTTTCCTTGTGAGTTCTACATATTTTTCGTATGAAAATTCAAGAACAATGTCTGTATCATTTAGTCTAATAAGTAACCATCTTAGACGAAGGAAGCGTGTTATTATAATTGACTGTATTAAATAAATATTGTAATTTTAGTTCTCGGTATACATATTAGTGATTTTCGCGGGGCGAAATAAAACCTTGTTGGTTATGTGATCCAGTTGGACTTTTGTTTATTTATATTGTAATAAAGTATCTGTTGATACGAAGTGATTTATGTTGCTGTGACGATGTATTAATAAATAATAATGGGTAAACTTGAACTGTACAGAATATACAATACATGTTTTCAATTATATTTAGAAACGATCTTGAAATCAGGGTCTAATAATTTTCTTTTTTTTCTTTTTAAGTCAATACTATTTCCCCTCGCAATATAACGCAGCTTATTGATATGAGAATGTACTATTGTATGTATTAGTTCAATTGTTACAAAATGATAGATGTTACTAATTAAATATGTTCGAAACATTTAATGTTGTTTTAATTCTTTAGGCATAGAGGTCAAATTACATTTATATCAATGGAGATCCATAACTGAATGAGACTGATAGAGACCGTTCTTAGTTTGGTTCGAATTGGCCGTCGACGATCATTACTAATGACGTTATAAGCACAATCTGGTACTGTCTACAAAGAAAAAAATAAATTGTATTTTTATCCTTCTTAGTAAAAGACAAGTTGAGAGTTGATAGCTCGAAAATATACAAAATAAATTCATTAGATTTTTGTATATGAGACTATACGGAGTGTGTATAGTCTCATATACAAAAATCTTTGTATTGGGAATGGTGGGGTACAACGAACTGAGCGTCAGGAGGGAGCTTACACTGGCTTCCTATATCTTCAAAATTATTAGAGGAAATATTAATAATCCTAATATATTGGAGTCAATACAGCTATATGTGCCGGACAGATACGTGTGGCGACGCCGAAAACCACAGTTGTTGTTTGTGCCGCGCGCGCGTACCAACCTGATGATGCAGGCGCCTTTGACGCGGGCATACCGCACTCTTAACCTTATCGCTGATCGAATAGACATATTCATTTGCTCACTGAATGAATTCACAAAGACTGCATTGTATATTATTTGTTATTTACGTCAGTGACTTCAATATGGTTTATATTGATTGTATTTGATCAATTTGGCATTCGCGATGCTATACTGAAAAAAAAAAATTGTTATGAAATAAATTGAATGGTTTGTATTAATTTTAAATGTATTTTTGTTATTTGAATTTTTAATGCCCTGAATATTATATATGACAATAATTTATATTTTATTTTTATATATTATGTATGAATATGATGTTTTAATGTTAATTTGTATATTATAATTTTAATAATTTTGCTTTCACTATCGCATTGGGCTACACTTGTAATTATAGTTCATCATCATCATCATCAGCCCTTTTACGTCCACACTGCAGGAGCTCAGGCCTTCCTTATGGATGGTTAAGGAGAATGGGCCATGACCCTCCACGCTGGCCCAATGCGGATTGGAGGGTATTAACGACTGCAAATGCAGCCGGGACCAACGGCTTAACGTGCCTTCCGAAGCACGGAGTAGCTCGATATAATAATTTTTTGGTCACCCATCCCGTGACCGACCCTTGCGAAAGTTGTTTAACGACTACGATCGCGGGCCGCGGCGCTTATCCACTACGTCACACAATGATAGTTATAAGTTACGAAATAAATAAATAAATAAAAAATAAATAAATATCGTTTAAGTCGAGGTTATCAAATTTATACAAAACAAGAACACGATTAATAAAAACAAGCGATAATATCAACTCCTGAGAGATATGTGTGATTGTGTTGCTAGCGGTATTTTTAGGGTCTGCTTAAAAGTACAGCGCGAGTAGTAGTGGCCTACTCGAAGTTAGTATTTACTG